AGGAGTTTTGGGCTCTAGGGCTTGGGGCCATGCTTGGCACAGCAGAGCAAGCAGCGGGTCCCGGGAGCCGCCCCTCCCCTTGGCCTAGAGAAGTGTGGAGAGAAATTAAGGCAGAAACGGAAGCCGCAGGCTGAACTTCATGTCCTCTGGAGCTGTCATCTTAGGGGGAAGAAAGGGGACACAGTGCTGGAGTTGAGCCTCGTGCCCAGCCTTGCAGTCATTGTCATCTTGGGTCTGCCCTGGACATCACCCCTCTGAGCTGTACATCCAGGAACAGTGGGGATCCTGCCCCAGCCCCTTCCTGGCCAGCTTTTCTTAAAGGAGGAAATGGGAAAGAGGCCTAGGGGCCTCTGCTCGTGGCCTCTGTGTCGCAGCTATGGTCTCAGCAGGGAGGAGCGCTTCCTGGCCTCCTCACATCCCTCCTTTCTCTCCTTTCTCCTTTCCCTCTTCCTGGATTCTCTCTCTCTCCTCTCTTCTTTTTGCTACTTCTTCCCTGCCCCCCTTGACATTTCCTCACCCTGCCTCACTTCTCTCCAGCCTCAGTCTTCCTTCTGTAAAGTGGGTCTTTTTAGACTCTGCCCTTGCTCTGTGTGATTCTGTTTTCCGCCCTCTCAGGGCCTGGGTCAGCTTTGAGCAATGTCTGAGCCTCATGGTCATCCTCTCTCCCAGGATGGAGGGCTCCACCCATCCTTAAACCACTGGGCTGGCAATGCCAGGACAGGGTGTGGGCCTGCTGATGGCCCTTCCCCGTGGCTGCCCTCTCACCTTCCTGCGTACCTGGATGGGTGAGGTACCAACAAACAGTGTCCTCTGGGTCAGCCCTGCCTTGTCTACCTCAGCCAGTGATCTCTGACCCCCACATTTAGCATGATGTGCCCAGTGCCTGGGGCTCAGTCACTTGTCCACTTGGCATGTAACCTTTGCTCTTCCTGACCTGCCCTGTCTTGAACCCTACATCTGTGCTTGGCCCTACCTATAGCTTCGTCTTGAGAGATGCTAAGGTCTGCATCTTCCAGGACTTGTGTATGGGGCCCTGAGGACCTGCAGGACCCTCCTCTGACTCCTCTCTGGTTGCACCCACCCCTGCAACCATGGGGCCCACAGAGAGGCTGCAGTTGCTTCCCAGGGCTGCTCACAGTGCCCACCTGGAGGGCTCAGAACAGGACAGACTTCCTGTCTCATAGTTCTGGCCAGGAATCCAGGTCCCTGGGGTTAGCGGGACCAAAGTCACCAAAGAAGATCCACCCAGGATGCTCTCCCAGCCTCAGGGGGCAGCCGGCCATCCTGTGTTTCTTGGCTAAGGAGACATGCCACCCCAATTTCCGCCTTCTCCTCTGGCCACATTCTCCCCCTGTGAACCTGTCTCTGGGTCCCCATTTCTCCATTCACAAGGACACCAGTCATGTCAGTGACCTCAATTTAACTTGATCATCTGCACAGATTGTTTCTCCAAAGAAGGCCACCTAAGTGTTTGAGGGCGATGGCTTCCAATTGACCCAGAACAGAAAGGGATGAGAGGCAACCCCGCAGGGGCAAGGAGTGGCTTTAGTGTTTAATATTTGTGGTGCTGAGGGCAGGTGCTCCACTGCTGAGTTGTATCCTAGCACACAGAGGTACAGGGGTAAAAAATTACTTTTTTAGTTTATTTTTTTTTTTGTCTTTTTCAGACAGGGTCTCATTATGCAGTTTGTAACAATCATCCGGCATCAGTCTCCCAAGTGCTAAGATTATGAATGTGAGCCACCATGCCCAGCTGGTACAATTACTTTTAAAAAATAGGTGGTACACACCTGTAATTCTAGCATACGGGGAGGTTGAGGCAGAAGGATCACAAATTTGAGCACAGCCTGGACAAATTAGGGGCTGTGTCAAAAAAAAGTGGAGGTGGGAAGTAGTATAAGGTAGCTCAGTGTAAAAGTCATGGGTTCAATCCCCAGTACTAGGGAAAAAAATTGCTACACTGGGTGTGGTGGTTTATGCCCATCGTCTATAACAGCGCTGGAGAAGCTGAGGCAGGAGGATCTTGAGTGTAAGGCCAGCCAAGGCTAAATAGAAAGATATATCTCAAAAAAAAAAAAATGATTGCTAACAAAAGGAAGAGCAAAGGAGGTAATAGGTGACCCAAGCACAACTTCCTCTTTCTCTGTGTCCATTTGCCTGTCCCCTCTCCCATTGCTTCTGGTGGAGAGACAGCTGTTTGTCTGCCCAATCTTAACCTTTTGAGATCCAGATGAACTTTTTGGCTTCAGTGTGAACAATCTATTCCTCTATAGTTGATCAAAATTAACGAATCAAAATAAAAATAAGGCCAAAAACGGCCAGTGTGAAATCTCCCAGAGAAGCACTGGCACACAGGATATAGGCACTCCTGCTAGCCGCACCTGGCAGCCTCGCACTGCCCTGCCAAGGCCTGGCCCCCTTCTCCAACCTCCATCCCACAGCCCTGCAGAGCCCAGAGCTTCCTTTACCCTCAGCTTCTTCCCAATCCTCAGGGGTCAGTGGCGACAAGGCCTTGGGGCCCATGGAGGAAGACACTGACCATGAATCCTGGGCTCCCAGAACTGCCCCACTGCAGCCCTGGGACCCAGATACAGGCAGGGGAGCATGCACTGCTTCTAGGCCTGGACCTGTGGTCATCTCTCTTATATAAGGATGTCTATTTCAGGGACACATTAGTCCTTCTTGGTTACCATCACAATGCTTTGCCTCCCTGTCCCCAACCTTGGCCACAACCTGAGTGACTGGGCAACTCACAGTCTGAGATGGTGGGCTTGGCTCTAGCTGGGTCCAGTTATGCAATCTACAGGGCATGGAGCAATTTGTTCAGCTTATTGAAACTTCCAATGCAAGAACTGAGGGCATAAAATCAAATTCAAGTCCCTTCTAAGCACCAGTCAGCACAGAAGTCTTCCCACTAGACAGACAAGTGACAAGAAACCAAACAGATCGCATCTGTGATCTCCACAATCAACCTGGGAGGCTGAGGCAGGAGGATGGCAAGTTTGAGTCCAGCCTGGGCAACTAAGTGACTTAGCAATACCTCATCTCAAAGTAAATAAATAAATGCATGCCGAGGATGTGGCTTAGTGCTAAGGCCCTGGGTTTGATCCCCAGGATGGAGCCGAAAGCTAATGGAATAAAATAAAAAAGGAATCACAAATAGTTGCAAGAGCCGCAAGTTTCAGCTCAGGTTCTTCTGAGATGCTGTTGAGGGAGGTTATGATTTAGACCTAAAATGTTCCCCCATTGCAGGTACAAATTCCCTACGATGAATGTGATTATTCTAAAATGTATCTCAAATGTATCAATAAACTTAGCGGACAGGAGATGGGAGAGGACAGGAGAGGAGAGGACAGGAGAGGACAGGAGAGGACAGGAGATGGGAGAGGACAGGAGAGAAGGGAAGAAAAAGAGAAAGAAAAGAAAAAGAATTGATTGTGTCAAGAGCTAGAAGAGGCCAGAGGTGCACGCCTGTAATCCCAGCACTCAGGAGGCTGAGGCAGGAGGATCCAGGAGTTTGAGGCCAGCCTAGGCTACAAAGTGAGTTCAAGGCCATGCTGAACTACATAGCAACCTGAGACCCTGTCTCAAAAAGACAAAACCAAAAATACAAAACAAAAAAGCCTCCAAACAAATGAACAGAAAGACCTCTTCGAGGCAGCATCTGGGGCGTTTGGTACAGAGGTAGAGGCAGAGGAGGTTGGATGGGAGCAGACACCAGGTGAAGGGCCAGGTCTCACGGTGACTAGGCATCTGCCTGGGCATGGACCATGCCTGTGGACTCCGTTTAAGCCTGGAGCAGCCGGGGCTGGGGATTTAGCTCAGCGGCATAAGTGCCTGTCTTGCAAGCAGGCAGTCGTGAGTTTGATCCCCGGTACAGATAAAAAGAAAAAAGACAAAAAAAAAAAAAAAAAGCCTGGGGCAGCCAGCTGGCAGGCAGGGCAGGCCTCAGTAGCTCTCATCTGGAGACCGGGCAGTTAGGGCAGGAGGGAGGTGGATGTGCTGCTCCAAAGCCCTGGAGAGAAGTCTCGGGAGAGAAGGTAAGGACCCGGACAGGGCAGATCCGGACGGCGGCCTGTGGATTGAGGGTCACTCACCCTGCTCGGTGGCAGCAGTTCGGTCAGGCAGGAGCTGGGGGATGAGGACCAGAAGACAGAGCGCGGCTGTCACCTGCATCTGCATTGGCATGCAGAGGGCTGAGCTCACCTGTTACCCTTCCCACAAGCGAGCAAAGTGAACAGCAGCCAAGGAGCCCCAAAAATAAAAAGGGCTTGGAGACCTTTGACCCCTGAAGAACTGGGGACCAATTGTAACGTGAGTCAATCTGGGAGCTTCCCTCCAGACTTGGGGTGTGGGTTTTTACCAGGCCAAAGGGCAGAGGGAGAGGTTCCTCTCCATGGCCGAACAACACATAAACAGAGATTTATCACCTTGCCGGAGGGGCAGCGCAGGGCCCACAGCGGCCGGGAGGCTGAGATCAGCATCCCGCTGCCCCCCAGGAAAGCGGTGAGGCAGTGGGAGAGTCTGAGCCTAACAGAAGGTCTCCCGGGTTGGACCCAGCTGCTGCTAAGGACACCCCCTCCTTGAGCCCTTCTGCATCCTATGGGTACCCCAGCAGGACATGGGGTACAGCCCCAGCCACAGCTGAATCAATCCCAGCCCTGCGATGGCTAGGAGTTCTTGAGGTTCAGAGGTGACCACAGCACCCCATGGCTATCTGGAGTGGCCTTGCCCACCCTGAGGGTCAGCTCACTCAGAGCCCTTACCCCTCGCTCCTCAAACTTGAGGTTCGCTCTTGTCCCCAGCCCCTGACTGTGAGCTTGTATGCCAGAGACTACAGATTGAGGAGACCCAGCCCAGTCTCAGTTGAGCAGAGTGACCCCTTCTCCCAGCTCCCCTACCACCACCTGGCCCCAGTCGCAGATGCCCCAGACATCCTAGATGCAGGCCACAGCCCCCCACAGCCTGCAGGGGAGGGAAGGAAAGTGCTAACATCACTGTGCTCTTTAAAAATTGCTTTTATTGTCAGGAAAATTCCACAGTGGGGAGAAGCCCGAGGGTGAACAAAGATGCCAAGGGATCTGGTAGCCTAGGACCCCTGGGCAGCCGGCGAGAGTGAAGGAGCAGATGGAACCGCTCACAGTCCCCATGGCCTTTCCAGCGGGCTGTAACAGGAAACCACAGGCCAGTCCATCCACTGTGCACAGACACGGCCTCAGGGCCCAGCACTGCTTTCTTCTCGGCCAGTCCGGGGTTCGTGGTGTGCTCTGGGTCACTCTCTGGTCCAAACCTGCATGAAGGCTGGGAGCCTGGGTGCCTCTCATCGAGTAATCTTCACCACCTCTGGCTTCTGAAAGTGGAACTGCAGAGAGGGAGGGCAAGTGAGGCCCAAGGGACAGTCCCAGGGCTGGGGTGGGAGTCCCAGGGCTGGAGGGAAGAGCGCCAGGGCTAGGCCAGGCAAGCATCAGGGCATGAGGAAGCCACAGGGCCGAAGCAAGTCTCTCTGAGTCACCTGTGCGGTGGGATTGACGGTCTCTAGCGAGGGCTGGAAGCGGCTGTAGGCATTCTCCAGGCCAAATCTGTCCTGTAATGTCGAGTCTGTGGGGAGGGTATGGGGTGAGAGGGAGCCAGAGAAGTCTGGGACACACACAGAAAGTGAGGAGGCCTCCAGATAAAAGGGGCCAATCCTCTCTCCATTCACCCCTCAAGGGTGCCTGGGCAATTCCAGAAGTGCTCAGGAAGCTGGCCCAGCATACCCCAGGGACAGGCCAGAAGCAGAGTCACATAAAGCGACAGCCCTAAAAAGTTCAGGCCATAGCCAAGGGCCTGATGGGCAGTGGTCACAGGTGAGGAGTGGTGAGGAGTTGGGTGGAACTCTTGCAGCCTCTGAGTCAACAGGTGTCCCAGCCCTCCCCCTAGACAACAGTAACCACAGCAAGCAGAGTCCAGCTATGAACCAGCCCCCATCCCCGTCATGGGTACCAGACTGACTTCCTCAGTCCGGCAGACCCTCCCTCCCTCCTGGCCATCAGGTAGGTGGGGCCTGGCATTCCTGCTTCTCTCTGCCCTCCTTAAGGGACCTCCTGCCCTGATGGCTCACTCTCCTTCTGCTTCCCACCCAGGGCAGGTAACACCCTGTGCTCCTCTCAGGCTACTGACCTCTGGGCTCATCAGAGAGGCAGCTCCTGCTTCTCCCTACAATGCGTATCCCAGCCAGTGACCCCAGAACCAGTCCTGGTTCTGCCCCACCTCAGGACTCTGAGAATCCTCCCCGCCCTCTGGCAGCCCTGCATACCTCCAAATGCCTCACCAGGCTGCCTGGCCCCTCAGTCCACCGAGCCTCCTCATCCTGTCCCCTGGACCCCTGTGTTAGTGCTGCCAAGGACCCACCTGAATGAGCCACTCCAAACACGCATCCAGTCCTCTGGTCAAAGCATGGCCTGAAGCCTGACAGTATCTGGCTCTGCCTACTCATGACCCCCAACTCGTTTTTCTGGGGGTTCCTTGCCTTTAGTTCCCTCCACAGGTCCTGTCTTTTCCCACCTCAAAGTTTTTGCTTGTGCAGTGCCCCTTGCCTGGGCATCCCTCCCTGTCATAACAGAACAGTTCATGACGGTGGAGTCACCTCTGTCTGACTCACTGCCCAGACAATGAGTCTCAGCCTCCCGAGAACTCCCTAACCCCCACGGCCCCACCACCCTGTGCAAGATCTGACATCTGGCCATGATGCTGTCTGGGCAGGGTGGCCAAGAGGGTGTCAGGAAGAACTGGGAAGGCACAAAGCTGGGCTCACGGGGAAAGCTGTGTGAACAGAGATCCTAACAGACGCAGCTGGAGCAGCCTTAAGAGAGCTAAAACTAGAGGGCTGAAGGTCAGGGAGGCGGCACGGAAGGCCAACGCACCAGCCTGTCCTATATCAGCTGCTGCCCCTGGCAGGGAGCAGAACGTTCCAGCTCCATGTGTCTGAAGGAAGCAGAAGGAAGAATGAGAAGGGGTTCCGGCCTTGGGAATTTGATGGGGAGAAGCTGAGAGAAGGCTGAGGGTTGTCTGGGGCTTTATGCCATGCCAGCGAGGCAGGGGCACAGACCAGGCTGCAGCAGCAGATGGGAGACAGGCCGACCGCAGTAAGGGGACAGGGTGACTGTGAGACCCTGTGGCCACAGAGCTGTGCACCCCGCAGCTTTCCCACACCCTGCCCTGACCACAGGTACCTTCCCAGACGCCCATGTTCTGGAAGCTTCTGGGGACACCTTCTTCCTGCCACTCTTGAGACATCTCGTATTCTTGGCTGCCAACAGAAATAGGGGTGAGCACAGAGGTCTGAGCTTCCCTAGGGAAAGGAGCATATCACAGCTACACCCTGAGTCCGGGAGGGCTCCGATGCCGGCAGAGAATGAAGAGCAAAGTCACCATCCTCCCACCTCAGGGCACTGGCTGGGCTTCCCAGATGCCCCTCACACCCTAGCAGAGCTCAGGGTGGCTTTGTCACACTGCCAGCCCTGGGCACCCCCTTATCCCCCACACAGCAGAGGAGAGTGGAGACCCAGGTGGCTCAGTCCCAGCTTCCCCATGTGGCAGAGCTTCTCTGTGACAGCCCAGGTGACAACCACCACTGGTAATGTCATCATGCAATCTCACTTTAGTGCTTAAGTTTTCTCTGCCCAACAGATGTGACCTATCATATTATACTGGAAGCAACCCTGGCTGTTACCCATCCAGCCTCAGTGTCAGCTGCGTGTCCCTGTGTCAGCTCTGCGTCCTCTCCCTGAGCTACATGCTGGCCCCCTTGCTCACCTGTGCAGTCTCCGCTTGGAGTGCCCAAGGAAGATAGCCAGGATCAGCATGATGACCAGCAGCACTGCCAACACGGTGCCCACCAGTCCGTACACCAGGTTCTTGCTGATATTCGACTCACAGGTCTCTCCCCAGTACCAGTGTGAGTCTGTGTTCGGGCATCTGGAGACACACACAGGCTCAGTCCCCGGCATGCCTCACATCAGCCTCCCCAAGGCCAAAGTCAGGGTCCAGAGCACAAGCACAAGGTTTTCCCTGCCCCAAGGGCAGTCTCTGGGTCCCCGGGGAACCTGGGTCCTTAAGGCAAGTAGAGGCTGGGGACAGAGGGATTGCAAAGCAGGAATTGGAAATGACAGGAATTCAGAGGGCTCCCAGGGAGCTGGGCAGCTCATGCCAGACACGTGATGTTTACCCATCTAATCTCAAAGCTGCCCACACCTGGATGGGCTTCTTATCATGTTTTATATTTTGCAATTTAATTTACAATCGTAGGAAATTAAGCATGTCGGCCACCGCCACAGCTGATAATGGAACCACAGCTGAGATAAGAGAGGGGAAATTAATGAGAGAGAGGAGAGAGGGGGGCGGGTGTCAGGAGAGCCAGGTGATAGAAATGAAACCGAACTTCCCCAGGAAGGGACTAGCTTTCCTGTTGAATGGATCTATGCCCATGCCTCACTCCCATGAGGCTGTGGGGAATAAGATAGCCAGGGAAGTGGGAAGAGGGGATGGGAGGGAAGGAGGAGGGGTCATCTTCCCAGCTCTGCCGCCCCACTCTGGCTCCAAAGGATGCTGGAAGGAGGGGCTGTGCTGGACTTAGGGGAGCACTCACAGGCAGTGGGGGCCGCTGAGCAGCAGTTGGCACTCGCCCAGGTTGCAGTTGAGGTAGTCCTTGGAGCCTCGGGTGCACCTGGTCACACAGTACAGCTGCCCATTCATCTCCTCCACAGAGTAGAACTGACCATACTCATCGGCAGCATCCCGTCTACATTGCTCTGAGGATGAGGTGGGTAGCACGAGTGAGTCCAGCTGAGGCTCCCTAAGACCCCACATTCACGGCCTACGCTCCCCCGCTCCTGTGCATGGCTCAATGTAGCTGCTCACCCTGGCTGAAGTTCGGGACGGCCTCCTCCACAGCAGTGTCCTTCATATTGTAACACAGCTTGGAGCCTGCCAAGGATGGGAGGGAGATAAGGCCAACAGAAACGCTTCTCCTGCCTCCAGGGGGCAGCCCGTTCTATACCACACCCTCCACCCTGGCCAAAGCAGGAGGGATCTGATCTTTTCCGGTCCCAGGTAGGCAACTGGACTTATGAACTGAGACACTGAAGGAGATAAAGACCTCCGCCCAGGGAGTGAGAGGGCCTGGTAACAGGAGGGTGACACTGGGGGAGGGTCGTGTGACACAGTGGGGGACACATGGAGGGACAGAAGGCTGAGACAACAAAATGAGCCCCTTTCAGACATAGTATGTGCCACCTCCCTACTTTTTGTGCTTTTTACAGCAGTCCTGTCTCTAGACTCTGATAAACTGCAGAGACAGAACATGTGTGCCATGTGGGGGAACTGTTTCAAAAATCTAGCTTCACTTGCCCTTAGTAAATGTAGAAATCCCTTGTTTGGGAGCCCACCCAGCTGGACAGTACATTATTAGCCTCCCTGGCCTTGCTGTATACATAGCACCTGACATGTGAGTTGTGACAGAAATTGCGCTGATTACTTTGCAGAAGCTCGAAGGCTGCTTTTGTTGGAAACACTAACTAGCATATCGGCACAGCCCTGTAATTCCAGCGCTCTGGGAGGCTGAGGCCCAAGGATTGGAAGTTTGAGGCCACTTTGGGTAACTTAGCAAGTGACTTAGCAACACACTGTCTCAAAAGAAGAAAAAGAAGAAGAAGAGAGGAGGAGGAGAAAGAGGAAGAGGAGCAAAAAGAAGGGAGATGCAGCTCAGTGCAAAAGTCCTGGGTTCAGTCCCTAGTACTAAAAAACAAAATAAAGTAAAACAAAAAGATTGATTTTTCATTTGAGCCCACAGATATCTATCTGATCGGTAACTACGATGGGATGAAAGGTTTGTATCTCTGTCTGTCTGAGTCCATTTCCTTTGCTGTCTTAATCCCTCGGTTAGATTCTCCTCAGCTCTGCCTGTAGTCTTGCTGATCGTGTAATTAAAAAATGTTCACCCAACACTGTACTGTAGGGTCCACTCAGCCTCTTGCCCGTTGGAGCTGATCCATGTTTTCTTTCCCCTCCCCTCTTCTCTGCTCCTGCCCCGTGCTTTTCCAGTAGCCGCAGCAGCCCAGGCACCTAAAGTCGTTCAATCCTTTCCAAGGGCCCAGGAAAGACCGAGATATGTGCCATATCTCGGAGCAGGAAGATAGCATCAGCTGTGCAAGAATTCAACAACCTCTAGGACAAGTGGACCTTGATCACCCAGTGGTCTAAGTCTGTCACAGGAAGAAACACCTGGCCAATGAAGATGACTGGACTTCAGCCCAGCCCAACAAATCCATAAACATCCACTGTTGTCTTTGTTCTCTGACAGCTTGGTCCCTCTCTTCATCAACGCTACTGCTCTTTGGCTAACGCCACAATTCAGCTGAAAGGCACACACACCTCTGCAGCCACCACCACTCCAATAAACTCTACCTGAGAAAGAGAGTGTGTGCTCATGACCTCAGGCACAGGATTATTTCCACTGTCCCTGTGCCAAAAGATCCTTGTGTCTGCTCTCACTTCAGCCTGGCTTCCAGATTCCTATAGTGATGACGCTGGCATTCCAGAAGAAAGGAGAGGAGGGGGAGACAGAAACCAAGACCTGCTTTCCCACCACTGTCGAGGAGCTTCAGGCAGACCTACCTTCACACTTGATGTTATCACTTTCAGATGAATTGGTTTCTTCCAAGATTTTGTGCCTCACGACCTTTGTGAGGTTCTTAAACAGTTCTTTATACTCCGGGGTGTAGTTTGCCTCCAGGACAACGTCATTTTGCACCACGATGCTGCCTTCACTGGAAGCAGAAGTTGTTTCATCAATTAGTCCGTGTTACCCACACACCCAGCAAGGGGGGCCCGGACAGCAAGGGGGAGATGTTGGAGGGCATGTTAAATGGTACAGCTGCGATGCACAGAATTATTCAAATAACTGATGATGGAGTCTTGAAGAAATACTTGCTCATTAGACCTACAGTAGTAGCATTCTTTTTGCAGGGGCTGGGGGTGGATTGAGGCAGAGCCTCCCTTGAACTCACTTATGTAGCCAGACTGGCCTTGAACTTGCTTATGTACCCCAGGCTGGCTGCGAACCCATGGTGATCCTCCTGCCTCAGCTTCCCGAGTGCTGGAGTTACAGGCATGCACCACCATGCCCAGTAGCAGCATTATTCTTAATAGCACCAAAGTAACAATGAACCTAAGGTCCATTCACAGGGGAATGTGATATCTATATGCAGTGGAATATTACTGAACCTTAAAAAGGAAGGGCATCGTGCCACATGCCACAACCTGGATGAAATTTGAGAACAAAATGCTAAGTGAAATAAACCAAAAAGTTGCTGTGTGATTCATAGTCTGCGATGTAACCAGACTTGTCAGAACCACAGAGACAAAGGAAAACGATGGGGATATTGAGGGATATGGATGGGAAGAGACTTTTACTACATCCTGGCTGGCCCCTAAAGTCCAACTATCTGGGCAAGAGCCATATTTCCAACCTTTTCCCATCCTCGCTGCTGCCCCTCAAACAGCCAGGAAGTTCCTGGAACTGTCCTCCTCTTTCCTTGGGGTCACTTTATTTCTTTCCTCTTCCCTCCTCTGGTCCTCCAAGGCTCAGTGAGTTGTCACATCTCCAGGGAAGAATTCCCTCCACCATCACCCGCCTTGCTTCAGGACCTCCTGATGCATCCTTCTCATAACATGTGTCCCTTCTCGTAACTCTCACCACACTGCCCAGACATCGTCCTGTCTGTATTCTGCCACTCTCGGCTCTAGGAAAGCTGAAAGGGCTCTATTCTCAGCACCTGGCACAGGGCTTTTACTAAATTTGTTGAATGAATAAAGAATGAATGAATGAATAAACAAGTGATACATTAATAAGCATGATGGTTGCGTGAATGAACAAGCAAATGATAATAAATGAATGTGATGAAAGAATGAATGGACAAGTAGTGATTAACGTAAGTGCTGGTGAATGAAAAAGCGAACGATGAATGAATGAACAATTGATAAATGGTCTCAGTGTTGCCTAGACCTCCAACCATTCCTGATAGGATAAAGCAGAACCACAGGATTGAGAAGGGGCTCTGACAGCCAAAAAAGCTGCTCGATATACTCACGCCAGATTGTTGATGATCACCTCTTTGTACTGGGGGAGATCAGAGCCTCTGTACACTTCATTCATCTGAAAGAAATAGCTCAACTTGCACCCAGCTGGTCCCATCCTTCCTCTCAGGCTCCTTCTGTGGGGCCCTCAGGAAGGAGGCTGGAACAGGCACTGAGACCCAGTCAGGATGGGGTGGGTGGAAGCTCTGGGAAGAATCCCTCCAGGGACTGGGGGGGCTGAGGGTCTCAAAGGAGCACCTCGTGGCTTCAAACACCTGGCCTCCACTGCTCTTACCCGCTTCTTGAACAAATCAGTGAAGTTCAGGTATGTCGGGGAAGATGGGTCAGCCAGGTCCTTCGTGAAATTCCTGTGAGTCACTTTCACTGTCACATGGACCTTTGCCATGACTAGTGGGGTCTCTGTGGAAACAGGCCATATTAGGTATGAGGTAGTGACCTCTCAGGAATATCTCCTGGGATGGGTGAATTCTCTGCCTACTGCTCTTGGGAGAAGTGTGGAGGAAAGAGAAGGAAATCTCAAGAGTCAGGTGGCAGCTACTAAGGCCTCTGTCCCTTATACCTCCATGCCAGGAGGCAGCCAGATTGAGATGCAGAGGGATTCAGAGGTAGAGATGCAGGAAGGGCTGGGCTAAGAATCCCCTACTCCTGCACAAGAAAACTGGAGAGTTCACAAAAAACTGCCCCACAGAGGCAGAGGCAGAGGCAGAAGGACCCTGATCCACACCAACTCTTCTCCCCGAAGTGAGGCCAGGCCTGAAAATGGTCCTTACCTAGGAGGAAGTTGTACACGAGGAACTGGCACTGCTGACCGGTGGAGCCAGGTTTGCAGTCACACCTGTTTCCGTTCCACGATCCCCCATTGAAGCATTGCACTGTGGAGGCACAAAACTCATGAAGGTCATCAAGGAAGCCCAAGGAGCAGAAACTGGCTCCCACCCAGTTCCCAACATTAGGGCATTGAACTTGATAAAGGGAGTAAGACTGGGGGATCGCTTAGCTTCAGGGAGCAAAGAAAGAACAAATCGGACAAAGAGAAAACAGCACTACAAATCAAAACTAGATGGCATGGATGGTGACTGCAGAAGGGAAAGGGGAGCGTGACAACAAATGAGGGAACGTGACTAGGTTGCAAATAAAGAGAAACCAAAGTTCACACAATCACATAGAAAGAAACTTACTTGATGTCGAAGAGACGACCTTGGAAGTGGTGGCAATGGACGTGGAGTGCACAGTGGACCAGCTGCTGCTGACACCTGGGAATGGGGACTGGGTAGACAGAGAGGTGGGGGAAGAGGGAAGAGGAGAAGAGCTAGAGGAAACTGGAAGAGCAGAAGAGGCAGAGACTGTCAAAACGGAAGAGGAGGAATTCAAAGAAGAGGCTGAAGAAGCAGCTTCAGAGACGGTGTTTTGGGCTGTATGAGAGATCATGGTGGTGGGTATGGAACCCGGGCTGCTGGGAAAGGTTGTGGCTCCTGAGGGGTGCGCTGAGCTCAGGGAGCTCTGAGAAGAAGCCGTGATGTGTGCTGAAGAGGTGAGGTGAGCAGAGGATGCTGTAGCTTCCTGAGCCAGCACTGTGGTTTGGGGACTATCAGGTGACACTCCTGTGGGGATGGAACCTAGAGTACTGTGGCTGGTGGGAGATCCTGGAGACACAGGTGTAGAATGAGACGTTTCTGTCCTCACTGTGTGGGATGATGATACTGGGTGGCTTGAAACTGCTGTCCAATCTTCAGGCACAGCTGTGGTGTAGTCAGTGTCTGATGGCAGAGTTGTTCGTGCTGAGCCTGGACTAGCAGGTGAGGCTGTGGACACTTCGGTCTCCCCTGGGGTCAGGGAGCTCTGTGTTGGCCCTGTACTGTGTGCTGAATCCGGGCTGCCTGCTAAAGCTGTGGAAGAGGAAGGCAAGATGGTGGTTTGGGAGCTACCAGAGGGCATGGCAGTGCTTGCTGTGGGTGACCCCTGTGCAGACGCTGTCCATCCTCCACCCAGGCCTGTGGTTTGTGGGCTGTCAGTGGACTCTGCTGTGGCTGAGCTCGCTGCCTTGGCTGTAGATCCCACAGACTGTGCAGTGCTGTGAGAGCTGGAGGAGGGCGCACCTGTGAGTTCTGAGTCTGTGCTGCCAGGCGAGGATGTCTGTCCTTCCCCGGACACTGAGCTAGGAGAGCTGTGTGGTGATGCTGGAGTGTGAGTGGAGACGGGACTTGTTCCAGAGAATGTGGATGTCTCAGAAAGGGCTGGGACTGTCACAGAGTCCGAGGTGGTGCTGCTGCTGGGTGCAGCCGTAGACACCCCGTCCGAAACTGCAGTTTGGGAGCTGTAGGTTGATGGTGCAGTGGGAGATGAACCAAGGCTTCCTTTGGAAGCTGTGGATGCTTCAGATGGGACTGTGGTTGCCAAGGTCTGTAGCGAGTCTGATGAGTGTGCAGATTCAGAGATGCCTTCAGGTGTCGTCAGTCCCTCGGCCGTGCCTGTGGTGAGAGGGCTGTGTGATGGCCCTGCTGTGTGTGCAGAGCTTGGGCTGCTTGGAGAGCTTGTCGTTGCCTCAGTCAGAGGTGTGGATGGGGTTGTGTCAGAAGTCGCTGTGGTGTGTCCTTCACCTGAGCTGCTTGGGAAGCCTGTAGATCCACCGTGCATGACTGTGCTTTGGGAGCTGTCAGAGGAGGCAGACGTGTGCTCTGAAGATGAGCTGGGTGAGGACGGTGTGGATTCTACAGCCATGTCTGTGGTTTGGGAGCTGACAGACGGTCCCTCTGTGGCTCCCGAAGCCATGCTGCCAGGAGAGGTGGTAGAGTCTTGTGACGGCACTGTGGTTTGGGAGTCTCCTGGGGCCAGTGCACTCAGTGTGGAAGGACTTCTTTCAAAGACTGTGGATGTTTCAGAGAGGACTGAGGTTGGGGTGCTGTCTGATGGCACTGTTGTCATATCTGGACTGGTGTCAGCCAGAAACACTGTGGTTCCCTCACCCAGCACTGAGGTTCGGGAGCTGTAGGATGAGAGAGTTGTGTGTGCCGGAACAGGGCTCCCCTGGGACACACTGGATGCATCCCCACGGTCTGTGGCTGCAGAGGTCTGTGAGGGCAGCATTGAGGGTGTAGACTCAGAGCTGACTTTCCCGGTCGTCCATCCCTCACCCGTGACTGAGATGTGAGTGCTCTGTGCTGAAACTGTGGTGTGTGGTGGGCCTGTGCTGCTTGGAAAGCTTGCAGATGCTTCTGGCCAAATGGTGGCTGGGGAGGTGACATCCACTATCACTGTAGTGTGTGTCGAAGTCCAGCTGCTTGTGGCAGTTGGTTCTTCATGCTCAGCTGTGCTTTGAGAGCTCTCAGATGAGACGCTCGTGTGCCCTGAAGAGGAGTCCGGTGAGAGTGTTGCAGGTCTGTGAGGCGAGATGGTGGCTGGGGAGTTGCTGGGAGACACTCCTGTGGGTGTGGTGGTGAGGCTGCTTTGGAAGGTGGCAGACTCCACAGTCAGGAGGGCTGTGTGCACTGTGTCTGATGACAGCGTTGTGAGTGCTGAGCCTGGACTAGCAGGTGAGGCTGTGGACACTTCGGTCTCCCCTGGGGTCAGGGGGCTGTGTGTTGGCCCTGTACTGTGTGCTGAATCCGGGCTGCCTGCTAAAGCTGTGGAAGAGAAAGGCAAGATGGTGGTTTGGGAGCTACCAGAGGGCGTGGCAGTGCTTGCTGTGGGTGACCCCCGTGCAGATGCTGTCCATCCTCCACCCAGGCCTGTGGTTTGTGGGCTGTCAGTGGACTCTGCTGTGGCTGAGCTCGCTGCCGTGGCTGTAGATCCCACAGACTGTGCAGTGCTGTGAGAGCTGGAGGAGGGCACACCTGTGAGTTCTGAGTCTGTGCTGCCAGGCAAGGATGTCTGTCCTTCCACGGACACTGAGCTAGGCGAGCTGTGTGGTGACGCTGGAGTGTGAGTGGAGACGGGGCTTGTTCCAGAGAATGTGGATGCCTCAGAAAGGACCGTGACGTCTGTCTGCACTGTTGCAGAGTCCGAGGTGGTGCTGCTGCTGGGTGCAGCCGTAGACACCCCGTCCGAAACTGCAGTTTGGGAGCTGTAGGTTGATGGTGCAGTGGGAGATGAACCAAGGCTTCCTTTGGAAGCTGTGGATGCTTCAGATGGGACTGTGGTTGCCAAGGTCTGTAGCGAGTCTGATGAGTGTGCAGATTCAGAGATGCCTTCAGGTGTCGTCAGTCCCTCGGCCGTGCCTGTGGTGAGAGGGCTGTGTGATGGCACTGCTGTGTGTGCAGAGCTTGGGCTGCTTGGAGAGCTTGTCGTTGCCTCAGTCAGAGGTGTGGATGGGGTTGTGTCAGAAGTCGCTGTGGTGTGTCCTTCACCTGAGCTGCTTGGGAAGCCTGTAGATCCACCGTGCATGACTGTGCTTTGGGAGCTGTCAGAGGAGGCAGACGTGTGCTCTGAAGATGAGCTGGGTGAGGACGGTGCGGATTCTACAGCCATGTCTGTGGTTTGGGAGCTGACAGACGGTCCCTCTGTGGCTCCCGAAGCCATGCTGCCAGGAGAGGTGGTAGAGTCTTGTGACGGCACTGTGGTTTGGGAGTCTCCTGGGGCCAGTGCACTCAGTGTGGAAGGACTTCTTTCAAAGACTGTGGATGTTTCAGAGAGGACTGAGGTTGGGGTGCTGTCTGATGGCACTGTTGTCATATCTGGACTGGTGTCAGCCAGAAACACTGTGGTTCCCTCACCCCGCACTGAGGTTCGGGAGCTGTAGGATGAGGGAGTTGTATGTGCCGGAACAGGGCTCCCCTGAGACACACTGGATGCATCCCCACGGTCTGTGGCTGCAGAGGTCTGTGAGGGCAGCATTGAGGGTGTAGACTCAGAGCTGACTTTCCCGGTCGTCCATCCCTCACCCGTGACTGAGATGTGAGTGCTCTGTGCTGAAACTGTGGTGTGTGGTGGGCCTGTGCTGCTTGGAAAGCTTGCAGATGCTTCTGGCCAAATGGTGGCTGGGGAGGTGACATCCACTATCACTGTAGTGTGTGTCGAAGTCCAGCTGCTTGTGGCAGTTGGTTCTTCATGCTCAGCTGTGCTTTGAGAGCTCTCAGATGAGACGCTCGTGTGCCCTGAAGAAGAGTCCGGTGAGAGTGTTGCAGGTCTGTGAGGCGAGATGGTGGCTGGGGAGTTGCTGGGAGACACTCCTGTGGGTGTGGTGGTGAGGCTGCTTTGGAAGGTGGCAGACTCCACAGTCAGGAGGGCTGTGTGCACTGTGTCTGATGACAGCGTTGTGAGTGCTGAGCCTGGACTAGCAGGTGAGGCTGTGGACACTTCGGTCTCCCCTGGGGTCAGGGGGCTGTGTGTTGGCCCTGTACTGTGTGCTGAATCCGGGCTGCCTGCTAAAGCTGTGGAAGAGAAAGGCAAGATGGTGGTTTGGGAGCTACCAGAGGGCGTGGCAGTGCTTGCTGTGGGTGACCCCCGTGCAGATGCTGTCCATCCTCCACCCAGGCCTGTGGTTTGTGGGCTGTCAGTGGACTCTGCTGTGGCTGAGCTCGCTGCCGTGGCTGTAGATCCCACAGACTGTGCAGTGCTGTGAGAGCTGGAGGAGGGCACACCTGTGAGTTCTGAGTCTGTGCTGCCAGGCGAGGATGTCTGTCCTTCCCCGGACACTGAGCTAGGCGAGCTGTGTGGTGACGGTGGAGTGTGAGTGGAGACGGGGCTTGTTCCAGAGAATGTGGATGCCTCAGAAAGGACCGTGACGTCTGTCTGAACTGTTGCAGAGTCCGAGGTGGTGCTGCTGCTGGGTGCAGCCGTAGACACCCCTTCCGAAACTGCAGTTTGGGAGCTGTAGGTTGATGGTGCAGTGGGAGATGAACCAAGGCTTCCTTTGGAAGCTGTGGATGCTTCAGATGGGACTGTGGTTGCCAAGGTCTGTAGCGAGTCTGATGAGTGTGCAGATTCAGAGATGCCTTCAGGTGTCGTCAGTCCCTCGGCCGTGCCTGTGGTGAGAGGGCTGTGTGATGGCACTGCTGTGTGTGCAGAGCTTGGGCTGCTTGGAGAGCTTGTCGTTGCCTCAGTCAGAGGTGTGGATGGGGTTGTGTCAGAAGTCGCTGTGGTGTGTCCTTCACCTGAGCTGCTTGGGAAGCCTGTAGATCCACCGTGCATGACTGTGCTTTGGGAGCTGTCAGAGGAGGCAGACGTGTGCTCTGAAGATGAGCTGGGTGAGGACGGTGTGGATTCCACAGCCACGTCTGTGGTTTGGGAGCTGACAGACGGTCCCTCTGTGGCTCCCGAAGCCATGCTGCCAGGAGAGGTGGTAGAGTCTTGTGACGGCACTGTGGTTTGGGAGTCTCCTGGGGCCAGTGCACTCAGTGTGGAAGGACTTCTTTCAAAGACTGTGGATGTTTCAGAGAGGACTGAGGTTGGGGTGCTGTCTGATGGCACTGTTGTCATATCTGGACTGGTGTCAGCCAGAAACACTGTGGTTCCCTCACCCCGCACTGAGGTTCGGGAGCTGTAGGATGAGGGAATTGTATGTGCCGGAACAGGGCTCCCCTGAGACACACTGGATGCATCCCCACGGTCTGTGGCTGCAGAGGTCTGTGAGGGCAGCATTGAGGGTGTAGACTCAGAGCTGACTTTCCCGGTCGTCCATCCCTCACCCGTGACTGAGATGTGAGTGCTCTGTGCTGAAACTGTGGTGTGTGGTGGGCCTGTGCTGCTTGGAAAGCTTGCAGATGCTTCTGGCCAAATGGTGGCTGGGGAGGTGACATCCACTATCACTGTAGTGTGTGTCGAAGTCCAGCTGCTTGTGGCAGTTGGTTCTGCATGCTCAGCTGTGCTTTGAGAGCTCTCAGATGAGACGCTCGTGTGCCCTGAAGAGGAGTCCGGTGAGAGTGTTGCAGGTCTGTGAGGCGAGATGGTGGCTGGGGAGTTGCTGGGAGACACTCCTGTGGGTGTGGTGGTGAGGCTGCTTTGGAAGGTGGCAGACTCCACAGTCAGGAGGGCTGTGTGCACTGTGTCTGATGACAGCGTTGTGAGTGCTGAGCCTGGACTAGCAGGTGAGGCTGTGGACACTTCGGTCTCCCCTGGGGTCAGGGGGCTGTGTGTTGGCCCTGTACTGTGTGCTGAATCCGGGCTGCCTGCTAAAGCTGTGGAAGAGAAAGGCAAGATGGTGGTTTGGGAGCTACCAGAGGGCGTGGCAGTGCTTGCTGTGGGTGACCCCTGTGCAGATGCTGTCCATCCTCCACCCAGGCCTGTGGTTTGTGGGCTGTCAGTGGACTCTGCTGTGGCTGAGCTCGCTGCCGTGGCTGTAGATCCCACAGACCGGGCAGTGCTGTGAGAGCTGGAGGAGGGCACACCTGTGAGTTCTGAGTCTGTGCTGCCAGGTGAGAATGTCTGTCCTTCCCCGGACACTGAGCTAGGCGAGCTGTGTGGTGACGGTGGAGTGTGAGTGGAGACGGGGCTTGTTCCAGAGAATGTGGATGCCTCAGAAAGGACCGTGACGTCTGTCTGCACTGTTGCATAGTCCAAGGTGGTGCTGCTGCTGGGTGCAGCCGTAGACACCCCTTCCGAAACTGCAGTTTGGGAGCTGTAGGTTGATGGTGCAGTGGGAGATGAACCAAGGCTTCCTTTGGAAGCTGTGGATGCTTCAGATGGGACTGTGGTTGCCAAGGTCTGTAGCGAGTCTGTTGAGTGTGCAGATTCAGAGATGCCTTCAGGTGTTGTCAGTCCCTCGGCCGTGCCTGCGGTGAGAGGGCTGTGTGATGGCCCTGCTGTGTGTGCAGAGCTTGGGCTGCTTGGAGAGCTTTTCGTTGCCTCAGTCAGAGGTGTGGATGGGGTTGTGTCAGAAGTCGCTGTGGTGTGTCCTTCACCTGAGCTGCTTGGGAAGCCTGTAGATCCACCATGCATGACTGTGCTTTGGGAGCTGTCAGAGGAGGCAGACGTGTGCTCTGAAGATGAGCTGGGTGAGGACGGTGTGGATTCCACAGCCACGTCTGTGGTTTGGGAGCTGACAGACGGTCCCTCTGTGGCTCCCGAAGCCATGCTGCCAGGAGAGGTGGTAGAGTCTTGTGACGGCACTGTGGTTTGGGAGTTTCCTGGGGCCAGTGCACTCAGTGTGGAAGGACTTCTTTCAAAGACTGTGGATGTTTCAGAGAGGACTGAGGTTGGGGTGCTGTCTGATGGCACTGTTGTCCCACCTGGACTGGTGTCAGCCAGAAACACTGTGGTTCCCTCACCCCGCACTGAGGTTCGGGAGCTGTAGGATGAGGGAGTTGTATGTGCCGGAACAGGGCTCCCCTGAGACACACTGGATGCATCCCCACGGTCTGTGGCTGCAGAGGTCTGTGAGGGCAGCATTGAGGGTGTAGACTCAGAGCTGACTTTCCCGGTCGTCCATTCCTCACCCGTGACTGAGATGTGAGTGCTCTGTGCTGAAATCACCGTGGTGTGTGGTGGGCCTGTGCTGCTTGGAAAGCTTGCAGATGCTTCTGGCCAAATGGTGGCTGGGGAGGTGACATCCACTATCACTGTAGTGTGTGTCGAAGTCCAGCTGCTTGTGGCAGTTGGTCCTTCATGCTCAGCTGTGCTTTGAGAGATCTCAGACGAGACGCTCGTGTGCCCTGAAGAGGAGTCTGGTGAGAGTGTTGCAGGTCTGTGAGGCGAGATGGTGGCTGGGGAGTTGCTGGGAGACACTCCTGTGGGTGTGGTGGTGAGGCTGCTTTGGAAGGTGGCAGACTCCACAGTCAGGAGGGCTGTGTGCACTGTGTCTGATGACAGCGTTGTGAGTGCTGAGCCTGGACTAGCAGGTGAGGCTGTGGACACTTCGGTCTCCCCTGGGGTCAGGGAGCTGTGTGTTGGCCCTGTACTGTGTGCTGAATCCGGGCTGCCTGCTAAAGCTGTGGAAGAGAAAGGCAAGATGGTGGTTTGGGAGCTACCAGAGGGCGTGGCAGTGCTTGCTGTGGGTGACCCCTGTGCAGATGCTGTCCATCCTCCACCCAGGCCTGTGGTTTGTGGGCTGTCAGTGGACTCTGCTGTGGCTGAGCTCTCTGCCGTGGCTATAGATCCCACAGACTGTGCAGTGCTGTGAGAGCTGGAGGAGGGCACACCTGTGAGTTCTGAGTCTGTGCTGCCAGGCGAGGATGTCTGTCCTTCCACGGACACTGAGGTAGGCGAGCTGCATGGTGACGCTGGAGTGTGAGTGGAGACGGGGCTTGTTCCAGAGAATGTGGATGCCTCAGAAAGGACCGTGACGTCTGTCTGCACTGGTGCATAGTCTGAGGTGGTGCTGCTGCTGGGTGCAGCCGTAGACACCCCTTCCGAAACTGCAGTTTGGGAGCTGTAGGTTGATGGTGCAGTGGGAGATGAACCAAGGCTTCCTTTGGAAGCTGTGGATGCTTCAGATGGGACTGTGGTTGCCGAGGTCTGTAGCGAATCTGATGAGTGTGCAGATTCAGAGATGCATTCAGGGGTCGACAGGCCCACGGTTGTGCCTGTGGTGAAAGTTTTTGTTGAGTGGAGATAGATCAGAGAAGGCCATAAAGTTACCAGTGTCTCATGGAGGTTTGTGGCTATATTCCTGAGCCAGATTAGCTGGGTGCCACTGGTTACCCCATGATCATAAACTTGTATTTTCCTTTGCAGGGCCAGGAATTCCATTGGAAGCACCTAGATTTGGTAAAATTTCCCATAGTGTTTTACCATTCATTGTTCTGTGAGTGTAATTTTTTGTCTAGTTTTTAAAGGTTCTGCTAGGTAATTTCTGGGGGCTTTATTGGCCTCCATGTCTTGACTCGTTCAGAGTGGGTCTGTGAGTTTTGACAAGCTGTGTGGTGGTGAAGATCACCACTTCCTCCCTGCTGTCCCACCTTGCTTGTGCACACCTCCCTAGCACACTGGGTTATGCTCCTCTGCCCAGGTGCTCTGGTGTGAATTCTGGACATCTGTTCCCGCACCATTGCCCAAGCATGTTCCCCGAGAAATAAGAGGATCAAGGCAGGCCCTTTACCATGGGTAATTCTCTCCCTCTCCTTTGTTTCCAGATATTTTTGCATGCATAGGACTTAGCCACCTACTCGGAACACTGCCACCTCTATTTGGCCACACTGTGGTCGCCACAAGCTGCCTCAGCAGGCTCTTTAACCCCTAACGGGCTACTGCTGTGTCGTAGTAAGAGGTAGGCATGGACTTGTGACTGGAGGGAGCACTTGGCACATGCAAGTGTGCGTGTAGAACTATTTTCAAAAGTGGGAATCTAAGTCCTGTCATCATCATCTCACTGTGAGATGGAGATCACACAAGGAAAGGGTCTTCGTACCATGGGTGCCATCACCCTTGGGGTCACTAGGTCATCCCTGTCAGCTTCTTGCCCCTCCCCAAGACTGCCTTAGAGAAGCACCCTCATCACCTAACCCTCATCACCTAACCCTAAGCCAACCTAAGCCCTTGTGGTCACCACCAAGATAGAGGCCTCCCTGCCCTACCAGATAGTCCCATTTCACAGGGTCCTGAAAGACTCGGTCTGTCACAGGGAGAGGCTGGGCTGCACCTGGACTGGGGCCAAAGTGGACAAGCGGCCAAGACAGCCCTGCTATTGCCGCTCCTGGTCTTCGGCTTTGCATAACATTAGGGAAGAGGCATAGCGAGCGGCTCGGCTCTCAATACAGCTCAGGTGCGAGTGCAACATTGCCTAAGATTTTGGAATTCTAAACTCAAGAAGATTGAAAAGATCTTGTTGTTGCCAATTTGCAGTGCTGGGGATGAGACCCAGAGTCTGGTGCACACTAAGCAAACATTCTGCCACCAATCTCTAGCTCAATTGTACTGTCCTGGGAAAGGGTGACAGCAGGAGTCTCAGCAGCAGTCCAGAAATGTCACTCCGCCTCACCCATCCATTTCTCCGGAATCAGGGAGGTAGTCATAAATGGCCTTTATATGCCTTTTCTTTGTTGGACTTGTCACAAGAAATATGTTCTACTTTTATAAGAATTGCACTAGGACCTGTGACTAAATCCAATAAATTCCATCTTCTATAGAGGAAAAAGAAGCACAATATTTTCAGTAAGACCTCCGCCTAGAAGGCTTCTCAGCAAGCAGCAGAGGACTGTCTCCTCCCTGTGCAGACTCCTGCACACTCCCACATGGGCCTCTCCCACCTCGTCCCCCAGAGAGGAGTGGAGGCTGATTTGCCTTTGGTCCCAAGGCCTGACCTGGTCCCCGAGGTCACAAGTGTTAAAGGTGGGTGGGAGCCCAAAGAGGTGGGTACAGAACTGAGAGGTGGTTTTGCTGGGGCTGAGCACTGTGGCAGTCCCTGGGAGAGCAGGACAGAGGGTCTCAAGGGGGTGGGTAAGGGAGGAACCCTCCAGGCCAGGAGGGCAGAGGGGCCCCTGAGTTAGAGAAGGGATGCGGGAAAAGTAGACAGAATATGGGAAGGAATACGGCTGTGAGCGCGTCCATCAGGCCAGGCAGGGGACTCACTCTCCAATCTTCCACCTCTGCTGGGTGGCCACAGCCTTTGAGTGTGAGCTTTCTCCCTAGCAGTCCCTCAGCCACAGCTCAGCCATGCCAACCTCCATCCCCAGAAGCCTCCTGTGCTCAGCCCCTCCACTTCCACCATGTCAAAGGAGAGAATTCAGCTCAGTGGTAAGACAACTGTACAGAACCAAGCTCATCTACTGATCTTGTAAAGATACAAGCCTGGTATTGTGATGCATGCTAGTAATCCTGGTGCTCTAGCAGGCTGAGGCAAGACTATTTCAAGTTCAAGCCCAGCCTGGGTAACTTAGTACCTTGGTGAGATCTTGTCTCAAAATGAAAAAGAAAAAGGGCTGGAGAGGTAGCTTAGGGCAAAGGCCCTGTGTTCAATCCCCACTAAAAATTTAAACAGAGAACATTCAGCAAAGGGCTCTGGTTCCAACATGCCTTAAATTCTGTCACTGGGGTCATGAGAAGAGGCATAGGCAGGAAGACTGCTGAGGCCATACAGTGGCAGATGGGTGACCAGGGGACCCAGTGAAGGCTAGGACACTGAAGAACGGGGGCCACTCTGGACCTGCACTCTTGTCATTATTTCTGGATCCACACCTCATCACTTCTACCACCCGCTCCGTGGCACCAAGCTCGGAATGCGTAATCCCCTGTGCAACCCAGCAAACTGCCCTCCCTCTTCCTCCAATCTTTCCTCCCATTTAGAGCCCAAGACACCATCGCCTGCTACTGGCTCTCCCTCCACCCCTGCTGCTGTTCCTGGCTCATCCATTGAAAGGGGAGCCAGGACTGAAGGGGGCTCTGCCACCTGCCACCCTCTGCCAGGCAAGCTCCTCCAGGGACCAGGACCTCTGGTGGAGCTGCTGGTGACACCAAGGAGTTCCCCCACCCCGACCAAGGTCAGGGACACACTAGGAAAGTGGTCAGAGGAAAAGCACATTTCTTCTCCAATGACACTCAAGTGGCCAAGAAGCCTGTGAGAAGGAAAAGTAATTTTGTGCAAAAACAACCAAAATAAGGCAAGCAACTACTAGCTTTTCAGCTATCAAGCACCCCTAACTCGCTGTTAGATGGTCGTAAGAACTGGTGTTGGTTGGGGTGGTCACATATGATGTTGATTGATGTGAACCTGGCATCACATTTCTAAAAGACAGTTTGGAGATATGCACCCAGGTCCATAGGTCATTTTAGGATGTCACTTCTAGGGGCTGGGGATTTAGCTCAGTGGCATAAGGACCTGCCTTGCAAGCAGGTGGTCATGAGTTCAATCCCCAGTACTGATAAAAAAGAAGACAAAAAAAAAGGATGTCACTTCTGGTTACTGATCTCGAAATAATTTGACAAAGATTTTATACAAGAATGTATATTAAATCACTACTTAGCATAGTGAAAACTGGAGAAAATATGTCTATGAATAGGAAAGTGGTTAGGTGTAATTATTAATAAGCCATTAAAAAATAAACTGCCACCTGTGTTTATAGCAGTACTACTCACAGTGGCTAAACCTTGGAAGTGGTCCATAGGTCTATCAACAGATGAATGGGTAAAGAAAATGTGGAATTTACACATCTGCTCTGCCATTTCTTTATAATAAACCTGAGTCATCTGTAGGAAACTGAATCCACCTGGAGACCACACTGCTAGGTGAAAAAATCAGACACAGCAGGTTAAATATCACATGGTTTCTCTTATATAAGAAATTCAAAGTTTAAATAATTTAAAGGGTAAAAATAAGGCCAGGGATTTAGCTCAGGAAGAACCTGCATGGCATGCGCAAGGGTGTGAGTTTGTTCTCTGGTACCAAAAAAATATAAATAAATAAATAAATAAATAAATAAATAAATAAATAAAAGGTATGACAGGACATAGAGACAGACCTTGTGGCAATGGATGGGGGTAGGGCTTGAGGGAAGATGGGAAGGTACAAAGGAGAAGCAAAGATGATTCAGAAGCAATATGTCTATGAACCATGCCCCCAAGATAAATGCACTTACGAATTGCAAACATACACTAACCAAAACAGAAACTAAGAAGAAAACACACAGAAATATAAAATTGCCGGGCGACTGGGAGCAGAACTCCGTGGTAGAGTGCTTGTTTAGTTTGCCCAAGGTCCTGAGTTCAATCTCCAGCACTGAGCAAATTAAAAATAAAAATAAGTAAACTGGTTATCTAATCTAAACATGCACTTAGAGATAATACAAAGTATCAGTAATGTTTATCTGAGTGGGAAATTTGAGATGTTTTCTTTTGTTTCTCTGTATTTTCTAAATGTTCTGTGGTGAGCATGCATTCATGTTATATTATTATTATTATTATTATTATTATTATTATTATTATTATTATAGTGCTGGGAATCAAAACCAGAGCCTTGCACATGCCAGCAGGTGCTATACTTGTGAGCTACATCCCTAGCCCCGTATTAAAATATTTTTTTCCTTTTTCCTCTTCTTTTTGTCTTCCTCCTTCTCCTCCTCCTCCTCCTTCTTCTTCAAATAAAGCGGATTTAAAGTTTTAAGATACAATAAAAGTATATACTTTTTAAAAGAAAGTTTGGGGGCTGGGGATATAGCTCAGTGTCACAGTGTCTGCCTGGCAAGTGTGAGGCCCTGCGTTTGAGCCCTAGTACCCAAAAAAAAAAAAAAAGTCCTAGCCTCTTACAATGTACTCTAAGTAAAAGACGTGTCTCACTTTACTAGTTTAAAACTACAAGAAAGAAAAAGGAAGTCAAGAAAACTAAAAGAAATTCAGTATGCACCATACCAGTCTTGGAGAAGCCAGGGAGAAAAACCACTCATCACAGATGATTACTGCACTGGGAGTCCCAGAGCTTTGTGGCCAGAACACTTAAGGACATTATGCATTTACCCAGGTCCGAGTCCCACTGGGCACCAAAGATACCAGTTGGGATCCTCCTGAGCAAACCCTGGTCCCTTCTCATTCCATCCAGTGTTGACACAGATCCCGTTAACCACACAGGGAACTTCCTGGCGGGGTTTTTAGCTTTCTTTCTTCTCTGTCCTACATTTATTTGGATTTTTCTTTTAAAAAGTTATAAGAGCAAATGTCTTTCATCACAGTGACCTAAGGGAAGGCAGCAGAAGGCACCTAGGAGCAAGAGCTCTGAAGAGCATCTCTGAACTGTGAAATTGTCCCTCTGTCACCTCCAAAATATACCGCTGCTTGTGGGAAAATGAGGCATTGGAGTCTCCAAGGGCACCCCCCATTAGCACCTCCTTGAGATATGGAGTGGAACCCCCCAAGTTTCTCCGTATCAGCCTCTACGCAGTTGTGTGACCTTGGGCAACCCATGACCTTCTCTAAACTTCCATATCCCTTTGAAAAATGAGGCGCATGACGCCTGCCTTGACCAGCCTGCTCACTCCACAGGAGTGGACTTCGGTCAACAGTCCTGGGTGCGTGTTGAGCCCTGCCATGCATAAAGACAGTGGCTTGGGTCTGTTTCCTCTTCTGTAAGGTTGTTTGTGCCTGGTAAGGTCACAGTGGAGAATGGGACCCAGGTCCTCTGGCTCTTTCCCCTCTGGCTGCTCACACCTGTGGCAAGTGGGTGGGCTTCCTGACTCGCCCAGGTGGCACCACCCTCACCCTCGCCCACTGCCCCGTTAAAGCCATGGCCACCTGCTTCAGTGTCCCTCACTTGCATAAGATGCATGCATCCAGGGACCAATGAATGGGACCTTGTTTAGAAATAAAGCCTTTGCAGATGTAATTAACTTAACAACTCAGGATTAGATTTAGGGTGGGTCCAAGCCCAAACACTCATGTCCTTGTTTGAGGCTACGGCTCCCATCATATTAAATCCACTATAAATTTTTTATTCTTCCTGCCTTATGCATTGCACCTGCCCAGCTACAGGATGAGGAGGAGACAGATTGGAAGACTGCTGCCATAGGCCAGGGGACTCCAGGAGCAGCCAGAAGTGAAGGGGCAGCATTCCTAGAGTCTTTGGAGGGAGGGTGACACAAATGGCATCACATAAAGTCAAAACTCCCCGAGACCCCCAGTTATGGAAAACGACAAAGAATGGGGGTTCTGGAACCAGAAGGCTTGGGCTCAGGTTCTAGCTCCTCTCTGGAATGGAAGGAAGACCCTGAGCAAATTACTGATTATCCCTGTGCCTCTGTGTCCCTGTGAATGAAAACAGAAATCAGTAACAGAACTGCTCCCTTAGGGCTGCTGTGAAGTGAGAAAACAGATACTCAGAACAATGCCAAGCACCCAGCAGATCTTCAGTGAACAGCAGTAATATTTACTGTTTAATTGCCCATTTATTTGTCTTTCTTTTTTTTTTTTTTTTTTTTTTTTTTGGCTTTTTCTTTTTTTTACGGGTACCAGGGATCGAACCCACGACTGCCTGCTTTTGAGGCAGGCGCTTATGCCGCTGAGCTAAATCCCCAGCCCCCATTTATTTATCTTTCAGTACTAGAGATTTAAGCCAAGGGCATTCTTCCACTCATTTATATCCCAAATGCTTTTCTAATTTCTATTTTGAGACAGAGTCTCCTAAATTTCCCAGGCTGGCCTTGAACTTGCCATAGTCCTGCCTCAGCCCGGTGGTAATTTTTATTATTCATATCATACCCAGACCCTCTGGTCAGTGTGGCTTCACCGACTGTCCTTTCTGAGGCACCAGCGCATCGGTGTGCCTAATCTCTCCGTGGCCGTACATGGCTGAGTCAGTGCTATAGTCACCTAAGGGCTTAGAGCATCTGTGAATTGTTCCTCCCTCTACTCTCCCCAGCTGCCACCACATCTGAAGGCTGCCTCCCCTGGAGCCTCATGGCCCAAGCAGGAGTGACCCCATGCCTCCTCTGCACTGCCACCCCACCCCCACCCTCGATCCCCCTCAGGCCTCCAGCAGCAGGCCAGGCTGTGATGGCTCTTGGTTCCCATCTCATTAAATCAACTATAAATGTTTTATTTCCCTATTTTGTCCAGAGCACCTGCTCAGGCAGAGCCCGCCCTTGGTCTCGAGTGTTTACAGAGTGACTGAGTTTATTGCTCTCCATGTAGAGCAGCGGGTCCTTCTCGTTACTCTCACATAGTTTCAAAGGTTGCCTTTATGTACCGGGAACCCTTCTCACCTCTGCCACATTCTTCCCAGATTTTATAGATGCCGAGTACTGTTTCCCCTCCCTCTTCCCAGCAGGGCTGAGGGACTCTGGCCCCAGGGACGTCACTTTGGTCCCCTGAGCTCACCCCTACCCTTTGAAACTTGGGATTTGTGAAACAGGAGGTGCACACTTGTAATTCCAGCAGCCTGGGAGGCTGAGGCAGGAGGATTGAATGTTGGTTTAGCAACTTAGCAACATATTTTCTCAAAATAAAAAAAAAAATTTAAAAGTTCTAGGGTGTGGCTCAGTGTGAGAGCCGTGAGGTTTAATCCATAGTAGAGAAAACAACAACAACAAAACAATATAATTCCCACTCTCAAGCTGATCCCTGGCATTTTCTGGTTATGTCCCTGTAGCATCACATGGAAAATGGCAACTTCTAGACAGTGCCCTCTTTCGGGATGCCTTTTATGAGCACTGGGCCTCCAGGACAGCGCCAGCCAAAAACCCCAAACCAACTAGAGACCCTTGTCACCAATCAAAGAGAGGCTCCCACCCTCCCCGTCAGTGGAAACCCTTGGTGCCTCGCAGCCCACCCACAAATGGAGCCTCCATTCCCACAGGGGATGCTGGGTCGTAGGGTCCCATTCCAGGCCCCTCTGATGCCCCTGTGCCCCGGCAGGGACATCACCAGCCCCACTAAGCCTGTCAAAGTTCCTCTGAAATCCCAAAGCCTCAGCATGGCTCTACTGTCCCTGTTGCCTGCAAATGCTACTGTACCAACTTCTGCTCTGCCAGGCACACCTACCACTGGCCTCCCCACCTTCCTCTATCTCTGTTCCCCTGCGAGGCCAGGATGCTCTTCCCTTCTCCCAGCTGCCTGCCCATCCAAACCTCCTCAGTCTCCCTGCAAGCCGCAGCACCAAGAGAGACGAAAGAGCAGAAACTCAGGATGCCACCAGCAGTCCCTGAGCTCACATCTAAACAGCTCCCTAAGAACCCAGACCAGCGGTCTGGAGGGGGGCGGGGTAGAGGGCCAAGGTCCTCCGGAGCCTCTAGGGGCAGAAAGTACAAGCCTGCTGTCAGATGACTGCCGTGCTATCACTGCTTCCTGGATGGCCCCAGGTAAGTCACTCATCCTCTGTGTCTCAAGTCCCTGTCCCCTGACTTCTCACACATTCCTCCTTGGGAGAATCAGCAGCACTAGCTGTGAAGCAGCTTTGGAAACTCGGGGTTTTCCAAAGCGAGAGATGGGGCCTTGGAGTCCTGAGTGGCCGTTCGCTTCCGGCTGTCTGTCCCCAGTGGCGCTAGCCCTAGATGGATGTTCCCTCACCTCTCCTGCACCCTAACAGATTCACTGTGTTGTCCACATACAGTTTTAAGCACCTGGCTGAGTGGTCAGTGTCTTTTGGATGTGGCTGGGCCCTTTATCATTGTCATCATCATGGCCACCATCCCTCCTCAGATAAGCTACCCAGGGAGCGGTCCTCAAAGCCACCAGCCACCTTTGGGCAGCAAGGACAGGAAGAGCCCTCCCAGCATGGACCCCTGCCCATAGTTTCCTCCTCTTGAGGGGAATGTGTCTGTGACCAATGCACTTGCATGGTGTCCCCAAATCCACCAGCCCACCCCACTCATTGCCCACTCCCTCAAGGCCCCTCAACATGCCTGGATCAGGAAGAAGGAAATGCATCACAGCTGGATGGCCAAGGTGGCTTCTGAGGCCTGAGCTTCACCCCTAAAGACTCCAGATACCCCCAAACCACAGCTCCTTCTGCCCCTGGAAGCCCCCCCACCAAGTCCAGGACTCCCTGTTCCAGCCAAGGCCTCTATCCCTGGTTCCCCTGTTCCTACCCTCCTCCCCAGGGGCTCTTCCCCGCCACGGGAGAATCAAAGAGTATGAATGAGACCAGCTTATCATCTGTCACTTCCCAGACTTGGCAGTGACACAGTCAACAAGGGCCATCTGACAGCCTATGTCTCCCCACCCAAGACCTCAGCCACATCTAACTAGGGGATTTTCCCCAAATTCACCTACAGCTCCCCACAGCGAAGAGAGGGAGCTGCCAGATGACCCCCTCAGGTGACTTCTCTCCCTGAGAGGGCCCTGGAGAACAGACGCAGAAAGCCTTCAGCCCCCAGAGAGGCTGGGACAGTAGGAGAGACATTCCAGCCATCTCTGTCAGGGGGCTGCACTGGGCACATCCATAGATGCATCCCTTTTTCCAGTCTTTCAAGGTGTTATAGTGGCCATGTTAGCCCCAAAGGCAGGCTGAGGTCACATCACAGGTCACCAGCTCTTTGGCAGTTCAAGGAAAGAGGCTGCCACTCTCAGCCCTGCCCAGCCCAGGCACACTCAGGGCAGCCTGGCTCTCACTCACCCGCTTTTGATGTTGGATCCGAGGTACCAGTGGACGTCCAGAGCTGGAAGGCCAGCAGCAGAATCCAGATCACCAGCATCTCCCAGAGCGTGGGCCCCCGGCGACAGCACCTTCCCTCTCCGAGGGGCCAGGAAATGAGAGGCTCGCAGGAAAGGAGCCGCTATATAAAGGAACCTGGAGACCTTTGACTTGGGAAGGACAATGCCTGCCCTGATGCCTGACTTAGGATGGGAGGCTGAGGTGATGACAGTGGGTGGGTAACACACAGTGACCACAGAAAGTCAGTCAAAGGACACTCTGTCACCTATCTCTAACTCCTTCTGTGATGACTACTCCAGCCAGAGTCATTTCAAGAAGCCAAGTCACTGGGTGGAGCAAGACACAAAGGAGGGACAGTAAACAGAGATGTCAGAGTAGATGGGGGCGGAGGACCCCAAGGAGGGGGAGTCTCAGTATCCCATGAGGAAATGATGGCAGCAGACCAGCCTGGGGGAAGAAAAGTCTTCCCTACCCCAAGAAGCCCTCTTCACTCAGCCTTCCCCATGGCCCACCTCAAGCTGGTCCCTTCCAAATTTCCAGTACTTTCCTGTTTCCAGGTGGGGCTCCCTTCACATTTGAGACTTTATGGCCTAGTCTCCACCCTGGCCAGTCAGAGATGAAGAAAGCCATGGTCATGGCCCAGAGCAAAGGTCCAAGGGACCTCTCCCAAGCCCCCGACACAGAGAACCACCAGGCAGGCTGTTCCCTACTGCCCCAGCTCTGGTCACACAGGACTGATTACCTACAACAGTGAGACCGGAGGGCCTGAGCCTGCATGGACCAGCCCTGCAGTGAGGGCCTAAGATCTATTTTTATCCCCCACCCCACCCCTACCTCCCCGCAAAGTGGTTCCAGGACCTTTGAGGGTGGCAGGGCAGGAAGAGCCTCCAAGTGGGACTCAGAGCTGGGAGTGCAGGCTGAGGGAGCCTAAGACACTGGGGTACCTGCACCTGTCTAGGGGAGGGGTGTGGGGAAGAGACAGGATTCAGGGCGGAGGATACGAGGGTAGGGGAGAAGGGGAATACAGAAATTGGGGAAGGGGCCTAAGATCTTTGGGGAACTACGCTTTATACCTCTGCGCAAAAGGGGGCCACCGCAGGCTGTGCTTTCCCTTGGATGGTACCTGGCAGCAGCATCACACCTCATAAACACTCAGGAAAGAGGACTTCCAGAACTGCTCCGGAAGTGGAAAGAACAACGAGATAAAAATGTTCAAAGCAAAGTAATCTAAGGGAGATTAATGGCAATATAACTTCTATTGTAATAATTGTTTTATTTAAATACACCGCATAGTTTTTGATCAGCCTTTGTACAACTATGACCCTAACAGCTGCCCACAGTCCCTCCCCAGGAGAAGGTGATGCATCCAGGGCCGGCCAGCCTCGCAGTCTGAAGTCCCTGTTTCTCCAGCCAGACGGAAGACACCAGGAGAAAAGGAGACGCAGAGTAGCCTGTCTCAGGCGAGTATCTGGGAGGAGCTGCACTTGCTGGCCGACTCCCTGTTCCCTACACTGATTTCCTGGCAAAGGAGGCTGAGACTTCAGGCTGAGGTCACAACAGCGAGGAGGGTGACACAGTGTAGGGGGAGTGGGAAGGGTAGGAAGGAGGTGGTGAAGATGAGGAGGAGGGGTGGGGCATGAGGGCAAAGAGGAGGAGACTCACTTCTCTTCACCCTTGGGGATCTGGGGAAATTTATCCCCCACCCCACCCCTACCTCCCCGCAAAGTGGTTCCAGGACCTTTGAGGGTGGCAGGACAGGAAGAGCCTCCAAGTGGGACTCAGAGCTGGGAGTGCAGGCTGAGGGAGCCTAAGACACCGGGGTACCTGCACCTGTCTAGGGGAGGGGTGTGGGGAAGAGACACGATTCAGGGCGGAGGATATGAGGGTAGGGGAGAAGGGGAATACAGAAATTGGGGGAGCTGTAGGGTTGGGAAGGGGACTGACTGGGAAGTCAGCTCAGAAGAGGAAAAACTTAAAGGAGAGTAAGGCCCCCAGCGAGGAGTTATATGGGTGGGGGCTCCAAACTGGCCACAGGCTCAGGATGGGAGACAAGTGACATTGGATGGTAACAGGGTACAAACAGGAATGGAGGCCTAAGACTGGGCCCCAGAGGTGAGGATGTGACAGCCTGAATCAGGCAATGTAAACACGTGAGCTGAGACAGAAGGGTGGACAGGGACAGAGAACTGGCCAGACCCAGCGGTTTTCACAGTAACCTCCAGGTATCAGGATGAGCAAGTCATACCCATTTTCAACGTGAGGAGACAGAAATGGGAGAACACTGACTCACTCAAGGTCCCACCGTGCAAGAGTCTAGATGTGACCCAGGTCCCCGAGTGGGTTTCAGCCAAGTCAGGAGAAGGAGGGGGTCAAGGGGACAGTCTGGTTTTGCCCAAGGACACTGGAGAGGCTGCAGAGGTCACGGAGGTATCTCTTGCAAGGACCTGGTGTAGATGGCTCCCTCTTGCTGTCGCAGGCAGGGTGGAGGTGTAGGGCTCACAGTGAGGACATGGCCACCTCAGGTCTCTGGATGTGCACCTGTCCCAAGTGTGGGTGAGCAGAGTGAGGAACGAGGTGCCCTGCTGGGCTTGACTGGGAGAGTGCCTCTGCTTCCCCACCCCTCTCACCTGTACACCGGGGTCAACCGTATGCAAAGCCACTTGGAAGTTTGCATCCTTGACTAGAGAAAATGAGTGAGAGAGAGAGAACCGAGAACAGTCAGGGGAGGGGACAGGAGAGACAGGATGAGCCCCCAAGAGGCAGACATGCAGGGAGAGACAATATTTACTCTCCTATATGTCAGTCCTGGGCTGAGGCACTGGCTTAGTCCTGCCCAGGCTGCAAAGTTCTCAGGGAAGCCCCTCCTGCCTTCCCAGTTAACAGTACTCACCTGTCTTGTCATCCACGAAGCCCGTGTTGCAGAAAGTCCCCACGGTGTCATCATCCCAGACCTCGAACCATTGCCTGTCCTCTGCTTTGGATCTAAGCAGAAGCATAGTGCGGTCAGGCAGGGCTGCTCACCCTGAGACCCCTGCTCTCCCCGTCACCCCTGCCGCCACCCCCTCCCTCAGAGCCTCACCCGCTGTCCTTCTTCCAGGACCGCATCACCCAGAAACTCAGCGCCCCCAACAGCAAGAGCAGGAGCAGCGCGCCGGCGCCCGCTAGTCCCCCGACCAGCGCCCTCCACTGGACGGCCACCTCACAGCGCGGACCCGAGAACCAGTACGTGTCGGTGGAGAAGCAGCTGGAGAGGTCACAGGTCTCAGAGAGCTCACAGGCGGGCAGAAGGCGGGGCTCGACCCTGAAGGGGAGGGGGCCCTCATCCAAGGAGATGGGCGGGTCCAGGGCGGGGCTTACCCAGGCTGTGGGCGGGGACTAGGCGGGGCTCACTCTAAAGAGGTGGGCGGGGCATTGGAGCTGGACCTCACTGTAGCGTTTAGCGAGGAGTGGTGAGACCACAGGACAGGCGGTGGGTGGACGGGGCCTATTGCATGGGTGGTGAGAGGGGCCTGTATGTGGGCGGGGCCTCACCGGCAAACGGGCCCACTCTTCTCCAGAAAACACTGGCCCTGGTTACAGTCGATGGCACCCTCCACATTCGGAGTGCAATTGGTGACACAGCGAAGCAGGTTCCCTTCCACATAGGGGAAGTAGAACTCCTCGTAGCCCTCGGCGACTGTTCTTTGGCAGATAGCTGGGGGGTTAGGGAAGGGGTTGCAGACAGGGACCGCATTCATTCCATGCAGGAGTGTGGTTCTAGTGACCCGAAACGCGTGGGAAGAACATTTTGGGGGGTGGTACCGTGGGGCTGACCCTGGAGTCAGATGGGAGGAGCCCCTCTGCACCTCTGCCCCCTCCCCTTATCTGCTAGTGCCCGCGTGGGAACGTCTAACAAGGGCTAGGAAGGCCAGCCCTGGGTCATGTCATTTACCTCCCCTAAAGGTTTCCTCCTCTGCCCAGGGACCTACAAAGGGCAGCTGTCCCTGGTGGGAGGGCTCCTGGCCACCTGAGGCCACTCAGCTCTTTGCCCCACCCTCACCTTTCGGGTCCAGGGCTGTCTCGATGCTGTTGTTCAGCTTGACGGAATCAGGCTTGAAACACAGAGCTGGGGGGGGGGGGGCAGACGCTGAGCTGAGCAGGTATGGGGAGGGAGGGAGAAGGAGTGCTGGTGTTCCCAGATGTGGTGGGGCCAGGAGGAAAGACTGCTGTTACCTCCCTTCTTCCCCCCTCAATAATCAGGTGTCTTCAGCCATCAGGAGAATATTCATCATACCTGCTAGGGGGTCTCTCCCCTCCACCTGGTCTGGTGAGACCTTCCCTTGTCCCACCCTGTGCCCTCTTCCCCACCTGCCCTGGGCACTGCAGAGCTGGCCTCTGGGCTCTAAGGGCACCCTGGTCAATGTTGACCTGGACTCCTCCCCGCAACCCTGCTCACTCTGGTTATCCAGACAGCTGTCTTCACTCTTGCTGGCATTCAGGAGCTCCTCCACGAGGGTGGCCTTCACATCGTTGTATTTTTCCTCCAGCTGGTTGCTGAAGGGCAGCTTCAGCAGGACTATATAGTCCACCACGATGCTGCCATTCCTGGAAGAGGCAGGGGCCTTAGAGCACAGCCAGACCTGAGGCACATGGGTCCTTGGAAGGGCACCTCCAGGACCAGCCACAAATACAGCCATGAGTTAGAATGCCACCCACATCTTTTTCAGCCTGGCAAGGCAGATTGCAGAATGCTGGACCTTCTCCTTGCATTGCATGAAGCTAGCACCAAACCAAGTTCCTCTGGGCTGCCTGCCCCACACTCCTCTCTAGTGCTGACCAGCCCAAATAGAGCTATAGCCAGCCAGAGAGAGCCCAAGTCAACAGTCCCAACACCACCTCCTTACATGTCCCAGCTTGCTGAAGAGGAGCACTGTCATCCGTTATGCAGAGAAATGGCCCCCGATAATAATCACAAAAAGCCCCCCTGAGTAATTTCTTCCACCCCTGTCTTCAAGAAATGTGATGGTTCCAGAAGTAGAAGGTGGCTTCCCCGGCCTTTCTTCACAACCCTTGCCACCCTTTAATGCTGCCACCACATCTTCCAGGTGGCCTCCTACCTCAGGGACAGGATCTCCACATCTTGGAACCCCGGCACGTTTTCGTAAATCTTCTTCACCTGAAATGCCAAGGATCCCTGAGCTCACGTCTGAGATGCGGGCCTGAGGGCACCCAAGAACCCAAGCTGAACTCCAGGAGAAGACCCTATGTTCCCTCTCTTCTCCCCTCACCTGAACCCGGAAGAGGTTGCTGAACTCTCTGTAGGCCTCGGAAGTGTTGTCTTTGAGCTCTTCAGAGAACTCCTGGTCGACAGACACCTCCATGCCCACTTCGGCCTCCACAGTATCTGTACACAGCATGCCCAGCTTTGGTCACTTCCCATCTGCCCCATCAGCCATCACCACCACCATCTCCCCTCCCCTCCACTCTCCCTCTGCCTCCTCTCCACAGGCCCTGGGGACTGGCTGAATAACAGCAGGGAGAGAAGACGGGATTCTGGGATGAGCTGCCTGGAGGTGAGGGAAAGACATCAGGATGAGGGGCTGGGGATTTAGCTCAGCGGCATAAGCGCCTGCCTTGCAAGCAGGCAGTCGTGAGTTCGATCCCTGGTACCGATAAAAATGAAAAAGACCAAAAAAAAAAAAAAAAAAAAAAAAAAAAAGACATCAGGATGCGTGGCTGTCAACCTGTAGTCCTTTACTTATCTGCCCCTGGGGTAAACAGGATAATGTCCCCCAAAATGTCTCGGCCCTAATCTCCAGAGGGAATCTGTGAATGTGTTATGTTACATGAAAATATAAAATTAGATTGCAAATAATCTGCATTAGGAGGTACATAAAATTAGACTATTAATAAGCAGACTTTAATTTAGGAAAATTCACAAATACTATCCAAGTGGGCCCAGTGTTGTCACAAGAGTCCTTAACAGGGAAAGGGGGAGGCAAAACACCTGGGAGTCAGTCAGAAGATGTGACTGAGCTGGGGATTGGGTATCTGCTAGAGGGCTTGGCTAGAATGTTCAATTCTCCAGCATCGCTTGTTCCCCAAAAGAGGAAGATATAACTATGAAGAAAAGGCATAGGAAGATCACTTCTAGAGGCCTTATCACAAGGAATGGGAGGCTCCAAAAGCCAGAAGTGTACAGAAATAGATTCTTTCCCAAAGCCTCTGAAAAGAACGAGGCCTTGGTAACACCTGGGCTTTAGTTCAGTGAGACCCACATCAGACTTGTGCTGGGTTTAGAATCGAGCTCCAAGCAGCCCAGACCAGAAGGATGCCCGGGCATCTTCTAAAGCCAGTAACCACCTGGTCCTGGAGAGGAGGGTGGAGAGGAGGCCTGGCATGGGACAGCAGAGGACATGCGACAGAAGCCAGGGATAGAGGGACTGGAAGAATGGTGTGTGGGTACCTCCAGGACAACTGCAGACACCTGTGGGAGGATTTGCAGAGCACACAGCCCTGCCACTCACCCAGTTCTACTTGTTCCACGGGATTCTCACAGAAGGAGCCATAGAAGGTGCTAGGGCAGATGCACTTGAGGCCATCCATTGTCCCCCCATTCAGGCATTTATTAATCTGCTCACAGCGTTTCCCAGTGAAACCCGGGGGGCATTTGCAGTGCCCTTGTTCCCAGGTGCCACCGTTTTCACAGGTGCCTGGGAGACAGGAAAGGGAAATCAAATGGGACCCGATTGCAGTGACAGGAATTCAGCAGGGGAGGAAGAGAAAAGAGCAGGAAACAGGTGGTCCCACCTAGGGTAGTAGTCAGCTGAGTACTACTCGAAGTGGTTCTTGGTGACGTGGTGGTGGGCGAAGTCTTTGTGGTGGCCACTGGTCTCTCTGGAGTCTGAGTGGTAGGAGGAGGGGGAGGTATCAGCTTGCTTGTCGTGGTGGACAAAGTCTTTGTGGTGGCCACTGGTCTCTCTGGAGTCTGAGTGGTAGGAGGAGGGGGAGGTATCAGCTTGCTTGTCGTGGTGGGCGAAGTCTTTGTGGTGGCCACTGGTCTCTCTGGAGTCTGAGTGGTAGGAGGAGTGGAAGGTATCAGGTTGCTTGTTGTGGTGAGCGAAGTCTTTGTGGTGGCCACTGGTCTCTCTGGAGTCTCAGGGGTAGAAGGAGTGGGAGGTATCAGCTTGCTTGTTGTCATGACAGTTGGAAGGTTGCTGCTTGGTTCCACAGTGGAGCCGGCAGCCATATGTGGGGTGGTGACAAAACTGGTGTTCAGCCGTGTCTCGGTGGGTGTTTGGCTGTCAGCCGACACTGTGTTGATGGGTGATGTGGCAGCGCTGGCAGAGCTGAGAGCGCCAGCAGTGGTGGCGGCAAGCTCAGCTTCTGGAGTCCTGGAAGCCGTGGTGTCCGTATATGTAGAAAGGATGGCTCTTTCACTGGTGGCACTAAGACTGGTAACCGTTTCGGGAGTGGTGGGGAAGACTGAGAATGGGGACGTGGGAGTCACTGTACCCTTCATTGTGGGGGAGGGAGGGAGTATTGTAGTGGAAGGAAGGGAAATGTAAGAAAAGGGACTGGTTTCAGCGGGAGCTGTGGCAGGTGGCGAGGTAGTGGGGAACACTCTGGTAGTTGCAGATGAAGACAAAGGAGGAAAAGTCGGGACAGAAGAAGAGCTTTCTGTGCTGGAGATATGAGGGGTAGGGACAGAGCTGGTAACAGTAGTCACCAGGGAATTGCTGCTGGCAGAGGAAGGAGCTGAGGACATTATTCCTGAGGATGTTGCAGGGATCAGGGAACCAAAAGAGGTGCTCATTGCATTTGTAGCTGTGTTTCCCTGAGACAAAGATTCCGTGCTGGGGCCGCTGGAGGAAGTAGGTGAGGTCACAAGAATGGGAATGGAGACAGAGGTCTTAGGGACGGACACCGTGGTATTTGTAATAGGGGCATCTGATGCTGATGTCAATATGCTAATGGATGCTGATGGGATCACAGTAGAAGACAGAGAAGGTACCCCTGTGGTGTCCATCCTGGCTGTTTCTGACATGGGAAGTGTGGGGCTGATATGTGTGCTCATGGTGGCAGTGGCTGCTGTGCCTGCTCTGCTGGTGGCAGAGGAACTGTCAGATGTGGAGGTAGAAGGCAGAGCACTGCTCCCAGCTGATGTTACCACAGGGCTGGTGCTGGGAGGTGAGGGGGAGGATGTCCCTGAAGGGGGCGCAGCTGTGTGGGTGGTGGCCGAGCTGTGAGGAGCAGCAGAAGTGTCTGTCTTGAGAGCTGCTGTGCCAGTGTCAGTGGTGAGAGTGAGGGTGGATTCTGCAGTGGAGGTGGCACTAGCGGTGGTGAAGGTGGTCTGACCTGTTGCAGTGGTGGCTGCAGCTGTGGAACCTGGTTCTGTTCCTGAGCTTGCTGAGAATGTGCTGGTGAGAGTGGGTGGTGGAGTGGACTGAGCTGCTGTGGAGTGGGTGGCCAGGACTGTAGGAGCGGGGGACATACTGCCTGGCAGTGTGGGGGCAGTATTGGTGGCAGATGCAGCAGAGGAGGATGCTGATGGCCCCAGGGTGCTGGCAGCAAGGGTGCTGCTGTGTCCGGCTCCTGTGAGAGTGGAGGTGAAGGGGGCAGCCGAGGTCAGGGCAGTGCCAGCAGGGTCTGTGGTATCTGTGCTCTGTGGGGTGGAGCTGGAGGGGCTGCTGTGGGTGTGGGTGTCTGAAGTAGTGACAGCCGTGAGAGTGGAGGTGCTGTGTGTCATGGTGGTCAGGGGCCCAGTGCTGCCCAGAGAAGAGGCAGGGAGACCTGTGCTTGTGACGGGAGGGAGGTGTGTACTGAGCGACAATGTGGCTGAGGACGTGGGGGTCTGTGTGACACTCAGACTCGTGGGAGGTGACGAGGGGGCAGCTGAGGATGTGCTGTCAGTGGAGTGGCTGCTTGAGTCTGGGAACCTGGCAGTGCTGTGAGAGGTGGATGGGGCAGCTGATGACACAACCATTGTGGAAGCAGTCGTGACTGCTTCTAAGGTAGACAGAGAGGGGCTGAGGGGTGTTCCCGTGGTGGCAGTGGCTGCTGTGTCTGTTTTGCTGGTGGCAGAGGAACCGTGAGATGTGGGGTATGTGACAGCACCCGTAAGAGAGCTGGAGGGGGAGCTGTCACGTGTAGCTGTGGACCTGGCCTCAGTAGTTGGAAACGAGGTCGGCAAGGTAGAGAGAGGAGTGGTGGCAGTGCCACCAGAGGTGGCTGGTGAAGCAGAGGTAGAAGGCAGAGGACTTCTGGCTGATGTTACCACAGTGCTGGTGCTGGGAGGTGAGGGGGAGGATGTCCCGGAAGTGGGCGCAGCTGTGTGGGTGGTGGCCGAGCTGTGAGGAGCAGCAGTAGTGTCTGTCTTGAGAGCTGCTGTGCCAGTGTCAGTGGTGAGAGTGAGGGTGGATTCTGCAGTGGAGGTGGCACTAGCGGTGGTGAAGGTGGTCTGACCTGTTGCAGTGGTGGCTGCAGCTGTGGAACCTGGTTCTGTTCCTGAGCTTGCTGAGAATGTGCTGGTGAGACTGGGTGGTGGAGTGGACTGAGCTGCTGTGGAGTGGGTGCACAGGACTGTAGGAGCGGGGGACATACTGCCCGGCAGTGTGGGGGCAGTAGTGGTGGCAGATGCAGCAGAGGAGGATGCTGATGGCCCCGGGGTGCTGGCAGCAAGGGTGCTGCTGTGTCCAGCTCCTGTGAGAGTGGAGGTAAAGTGGGCAGCCGAGGTCAGGGCAGTGCTAGCAGGGTCTGTGGTATCTGTGCTCTGTGGGATGGAGCCGGAGAGGCTGCTGTGGGTGTGGGTGTCTGAAGTAGTGACAGCCGTGAGAGTGGAGGTGCTGTGTGTCATGGTGGTCAGGGGCCCAGTGCTGCTCAGAGAAGAGGCAGGGAGACCTGTGCTTGTGACGGGAGGGAGGTGTGTACTCAGCGACAATGTGGCTGAGGACGTGGGGGTCTGTGTGACACTCAGACTCGTGGGGGGTGACGAGGGGGCAGCTGAGGATGTGCTGTCAGTGGAGTGGCTGCTTGAGTCTGGGAACCTGGCAGTGCTGTGAGAGGTGGATGGGACAGCTGATGACACCACCATTGTGGAAGCAGTCGTGACTGCTTCTAAGGTAGACAGAGAGGGGCTAAAGGGTGTTCCCGTGGTGGCAGTGGCTGCTGTGTCTGTTTTGGTGTTGGCAGAGGAACCGTGAGATGTGGCATATGTGACAGCACCCGTAGGAGAGCTAGATGGGGAGCTGTCAGGTGTAGCTGTGGACCTGGCCTCAGTAGTTGAGGTGATCTCCAAGGTAGACAGAGGAGTGGTGGCAGTGCCACCAGAGGTAGCTGGTGAAGCAGAGGTAGAAGGCAGAGGACTTCTGGCTGATGTTACCACAGTGCTGGTGCTGGGAGGTGAGGGGGAGGATGTCCCTGAAGGGGGCGCAGCTGTGTGGGTGGTGGCCGAGCTGTGAGGAGCAGCAGAAGTGTCTGTCTTGAGAGCTGCTGTGCCAGTGTCAGTGGTGAGAGTGAGGGTGGATTCTGCAGTGGAGGTGGCACTAGCGGTGGTGAAGGTGGTCTGACCTGTTGCAGTGGTGGCTGCAGCTGTGGAACCTGGTTCTGTTCCTGAGCTTGCTGAGAATGTGCTGGTGAGAGTGGGTGGTGGAGTGGACTCAGCTGCTGTGGAGTGGGTGGCCAGGACTGTAGGAGCGGGGGACATACTGCCTGGCAGTGTGGGGGCAGTAGTGGTGGCAGATGCAGCAGAGGAGGATGCTGATGGCCCCGGGATGCTGGCAGCAAGGGTGCTGCTGTGTCCGGCTCCTGTGAGAGTGGAGGTAAAGTGGGCAGCCGAGGTCAGGGCAGTGCTAGCAGGGTCTGTGGTATCTGTGCTCTGTGGGGTGGAGCCGGAGAGGCTGCTGTGGGTGTGGGTGTCTGAAGTAGTGACAGCCGTGAGAGTGGAGGTGCTGTGTGTCATGGTGGTCAGGGGCCCAGTGCTGCCCAGAGAAGAGGCAGGGAGACCTGTGCTTGTGACGGGAGGGAGGTGTGTACTGAGCGACAATGTGGCTGAGGACGTGGGGGTCTGTGTGACACTCAGACTCGTGGGGGGTGACGAGGGGGCAGCTGAGGATGTGCTGTCCGGTGAGTGGCTGCTTGAGTCTGGGAACCTGGCAGTGCTGTGAGAGGTGGTCGGGGCAGCTGATGACACCACGATTGTGGAAGCAGTCGTGACTGCTTCTAAGGTAGACAGAGAGGGGCTGAAGGGTGTTCCCGTGGTGGCAGTGGCTGCTGTGTCTGTTTTGCTGGAGGCAGAGGAACCGTGAGATGTGGGATATGTGACAGCACCCGTAAGAGAGCTGGAGGGGGAGCTGTCACGTGTAGCTGTGGACCTGGCCTCAGTAGTTGGAAACGAGGTCGGCAAGGAAGACAGAGGAGTGGTGGCAGTGCCACCAGAGGTGGCTGGTGAAGCAGAGGTAGAAGACAGAGGACTGCTCCCGGCTGATGTTACCACAGTGCTGGTGCTGGGAGGTGAGGGGGAGGATGTCCCTGAAGGGGGCGCAGCTGTGTGGGTGGTGGCCGAGCTGTGAGGAGCAGCAGTAGTGTCTGTCTTGAGAGCTGCTGTGCCAGTGTCAGTGGTGAGAGTGAGGGTGGATTCTGCAGTGGAGGTGGCACTAGCGGTGGTGAAGGTGGTCTGACCTGTTGCAGTGGTGGCTGCAGCTGTGGAACCTGGTTCTGTTCCTGAGCTTGCTGAGAATGTGCTGGTGAGACTGGGTGGTGGAGTGGACTGAGCTGCTGTGGAGTGGGTGCACAGGACTGTAGGAGCGGGGGACATACTGCCCGGCAGTGTGGGGGCAGTAGTGGTGGCAGATGCAGCAGAGGAGGATGCTGATGGCCCCGGGGTGCTGGCAGCAAGGGTGCTGCTGTGTCCAGCTCCTGTGAGAGTGGAGGTAAAGTGGGCAGCCGAGGTCAGGGCAGTGCTAGCAGGGTCTGTGGTATCTGTGCTCTGTGGGATGGAGCCGGAGAGGCTGCTGTGCGTGTGGGTGTCTGAAGTAGTGACAGCCGTGAGAGTGGAGGTGCTGTGTGTCATGGTGGTCAGGGGCCCAGTGCTGCCCAGAGAAGAGGCAGGGAGACCTGTGCTTGTGACGGGAGGGAGGTGTGTACTGAGCGACAATGTGGCTGAGGACGTGGGGGTCTGTGTGACACTCAGACTCGTGGGGGGTGACGAGGGGGCAGCTGAGGATGTGCTGTCAGTGGAGTGGCTGCTTGAGTCTGGGAACCTGGCAGTGCTGTGAGAGGTGGATGGGACAGCTGATGACACCACCATTGTGGAAGCAGTCGTGACTGCTTCTAAGGTAGACAGAGAGGGGCTAAAGGGTGTTCCCGTGGTGGCAGTGGCTGCTGTGTCTGTTTTGGTGTTGGCAGAGGAACCGTGAGATGTGGCATATGTGACAGCACCCGTAGGAGAGCTAGAGGGGGAGCTGTCAGGTGTAGCTGTGGACCTGGCCTCAGTAGTTGAGGTGATCTCCAAGGTAGACAGAGGAGTGGTGGCAGTGCCACCAGAGGTGGCTGGTGAAGCAGAGGTAGAAGGCAGAGGACTTCTGGCTGATGTTACCACAGTGCTGGTGCTGGGAGGTGAGGGGGAGGATGTCCCTGAAGGGGGCGCAGCTGTGTGGGTGGTGGCCGAGCTGTGAGGAGCAGCAGAAGTGTCTGTCTTGAGAGCTGCTGTGCCAGTGTCAGTGGTGAGAGTGAGGGTGGATTCTGCAGTGGAGGTGGCACTAGCGGTGGTGAAGGTGGTCTGACCTGTTGCAGTGGTGGCTGCAGCTGTGGAACCTGGTTCTGTTCCTGAGCTTGCTGAGAATGTGCTGGTGAGAGTGGGTGGTGGAGTGGACTCAGCTGCTGTGGAGTGGGTGGCCAGGACTGTAGGAGCGGGGGACATACTGCTCGGCAGTGTGGGGGCAGTATTGGTGGCAGATGCAGCAGAGGAGGATGCTGATGGCCCCAGGGTGCTGGCATCAAGGGTGCTGCTGTGTCCAGCTCCTGTGAGAGTGGAGGTAAAGTGGGCAGCCGAGGTCAGGGCAGTGCTAGCAGGGTCTGTGGTATCTGTGCTCTGTGGGGTGGAGCCGGAGAGGCTGCTGTGGGTGTGGGTGTCTGAAGTAGTGACAGCCGTGAGAGTGGAGGTGCTGTGTGTCATGGTGGTCAGGGGCCCAGTGCTGCCCAGAGAAGAGGCAGGGAGACCTGTGCTTGTGACGGGAGGGAGGTGTGTACTGAGCGACAATGTGGCTGAGGACGTGGGGGTCTGTGTGACACTCAGACTCGTGGGGGGTGACGAGGGGGCAGCTGAGGATGTGCTGTCCGGTGAGTGGCTGCTTGAGTCTGGGAACCTGGCAGTGCTGTGAGAGGTGGACGGGGCAGCTGATGACACCACGATTGTGGAAGCAGTCGTGACTGCTTCTAAGGTAGACAGAGAGGGGCTGAAGGGTGTTCCCGTGGTGGCAGTGGCTGCTGTGTCTGTTTTGCTGGAGGCAGAGGAACCGTGAGATGTGGGATATGTGACAGCACCCGTAAGAGAGCTGGAGGGGGAGCTGTCACGTGTAGCTGTGGACCTGGCCTCAGTAGTTGGAAACGAGGTCGGCAAGGAAGACAGAGGAGTGGTGGCAGTGCCACCAGAGGTGGCTGGTGAAGCAGAGGTAGAAGACAGAGGACTGCTCCCGGCTGATGTTACCACAGTGCTGGTGCTGGGAGGTGAGGGGGAGGATGTCCCTGAAGGGGACGCAGCTGTGTGGGTGGTGGCCGAGCTGTGAGGAGCAGCAGTAGTGTCTGTCTTGAGAGCTGCTGTGCCAGTGTCAGTGGTGAGAGTGAGGGTGGATTCTGCAGTGGAGGTGGCACTAGCGGTGGTGAAGGTGGTCTGACCTGTTGCAGTGGTGGCTGCAGCTGTGGAACCTGGTTCTGTTCCTGAGCTTGCTGAGAATGTGCTGGTGAGACTGGGTGGTGGAGTGGACTCAGCTGCTGTGGAGTGGGTGGCCAGGACTGTAGGAGCGGGGGACATACTGCCCGGCAGTGTGGGGGCAGTATTGGTGGCAGATGCAGCAGAGGAGGATGCTGATGGCCCCAGGGTGCTGGCAGCAAGGGTGCTGCTGTGTCCAGCTCCTGTGAGAGTGGAGGTAAAGTGGGCAGCCGAGGTCAGGGCAGTGCCAGCAGGGTCTGTGGTATCTGTGCTCTGTGGGGTGGAGCTGGAGGGGCTGCTGTGGGTGTGGGTGTCTGAAGTAGTGACAGCCGTGAGAGTGGAGGTGCTGTGTGTCATGGTGGTCAGGGGCCCAGTGCTGCCCAGAGAAGAGGCAGGGAGACCTGTTCTTGTGACGGGAGGGAGGTGTGTACTCAGCGACAATGTGGCTGAGGACGTGGGGGTCTGTGTGACACTCAGACTCGTGGGGGGTGACGAGGGGGCAGCTGAGGATGTGCTGTCAGTGGAGTGGCTGCTTGAGTCTGTGAACCTGGCAGTGCTGTGAGAGGTGGATGGGACAGCTGATGACACCACCATTGTGGAAGCAGTCGTGACTGCTTCTAAGGTAGACAGAGAGGGGCTGAGGGGTGTTCCCGTGGTGGCAGTGGCTGCTGTGTCTGTTTTGGTGGTGGCAGAGGAACCGTGAGATGTGGGGTATGTGACAGCACCCGTAAGAGAGCTGGAGGGGGAGCTGTCACGTGTAGCTGTGGACCTGGCCTCAGTAGTTGGAAACGAGGTCGGCAAGGTAGAGAGAGGAGTGGTGGCAGTGCCACCAGAGGTGGCTGGTGAAGCAGAGGTAGAAGGCAGAGGACTTCTGGCTGATGTTACCACAGTGCTGGTGCTGGGAGGTGAGGGGGAGGATGTCCCTGAAGGGGGCGCAGCTGTGTGGGTGGTGGCCGAGCTGTGAGGAGCAGCAGTAGTGTCTGTCTTGAGAGCTGCTGTGCCAGTGTCAGTGGTGAGAGTGAGGGTGGATTCTGCAGTGGAGGTGGCACTAGCGGTGGTGAAGGTGGTCTGACCTGTTGCAGTGGTGGCTGCAGCTGTGGAACCTGGTTCTGTTCCTGAGCTTGCTGAGAATGTGCTGGTGAGAGTGGGTGGTGGAGTGGACTCAGCTGCTGTGGAGTGGGTGGCCAGCACTGTTGGAGCGGGGGACATACTGCCCGGCAGTGTGGGGGCAGTAGTGGTGGCAGATGCAGCAGAGGAGGATGCTGATGGCCCCGGGGTGCTGGCAGCAAGGGTGCTGCTGTGTCCGGCTCCTGGGAGAGTGGAGGTGAAGCGGGCAGCCGAGGTCAGGGCAGTGCTAGCAGGGTCTGTGGTATCTGTGCTCTGTGGGGTGGAGCCGGAGAGGCTGCTGTGGGTGTGGGTGTCTGAAGTAGTGACAGCCGTGAGAGTGGAGGTGCTGTGTGTCATGGTGGTCAGGGGCCCAGTGCTGCCCAGAGAAGAGGCAGGGAGACCTGTGCTTGTGACGGGAGGGAGGTGTGTACTGAGCGACAATGTGGCTGAGGACGTGGGGGTCTGTGTGACACTCAGACTCGTGGGGGGTGACGAGGGGGCAGCTGAGGATGTGCTGTCAGTGGAGTGGCTGCTTGAGTCTGGGAACCTGGCAGTGCTGTGAGAGGTGGATGGGACAGCTGATGACACCACGATTGTGGAAGCAGTCGTGACTGCTTCTAAGGTAGACAGAGAGGGGCTGAAGGGTGTTCCCATGGTGGCAGTGGCTGCTGTGTCTGTTTTGGTGTTGGCAGAGGAACCGTGAGATGTGGAATATGTGACAGCACCCGTAGGAGAGCTAGAGGGGGAGCTGTCAGGTGTAGCTGTGGACCTGGCCTCAGTAGTTGAGGTGATCTCCAAGGTAGACAGAGGAGTGGTGGCAGTGCCACCAGAGGTGGCTGGTGAAGCAGAGGTAGAAGGCAGAGGACTTCTGGCTGATGTTACCACAGTGCTGGTGCTGGGAGGTGAGGGGGAGGATGTCCCGGAAGTGGGCGCAGCTGTGTGGGTGGTGGCCGAGCTGTGAGGAGCAGCAGTAATGTCTGTCTTGAGAGCTGCTGTGCCAGTGTCAGTGGTGAGAGTGAGGGTGGATTCTGCAGTGGAGGTGGCACTAGCGGTGGTGAAGGTGGTCTGACCTGTGGCAGTGGTGGCTGCAGCTGTGGAACCTGGTTCTGTTCCTGAGCTTGCTGAGAATGTGCTGGTGAGAGTGGGTGGTGGAGCGGACTCAGCTGCTGTGGAGTGGGTGGCCAGCACTGTAGGAGCGGGGGACATACTGCCCGGCAGTGTGGGGGCAGTATTGGTGGCAGATGCAGCAGAGGAGGATGCTGATGGCCCCGGGGTGCTGGCAGCAAGGGTGCTGCTGTGTCCGGCTCCTGTGAGAGTGGAGGTAAAGTGGGCAGCCGAGGTCAGGGCAGTGCCAGCAGGGTCTGTGGTATCTGTGCTCTGTGGGGTGGAGCCGGAGAGGCTGCTGTGGGTGTGGGTGTCTGAAGTAGTGACAGCCGTGAGAGTGGAGGTGCTGTGTGTCATGGTGGTCAGGGGCCCAGTGCTGCCCAGAGAAGAGGCAGGGAGACCTGTGCTTGTGACGGGAGGGAGGTGTGTACTCAGCGACAATGTGGCTGAGGACGTGGGGGTCTGTGTGACACTCAGACTCGTGGGGGGTGACGAGGGGGCAGCTGAGGATGTGCTGTCGGGTGAGTGGCTGCTTGAGTCTGGGAACCTGGCAGTGCTGTGAGAGGTGGACGGGGCAGCTGATGACACCACGATTGTGGAAGCAGTCGTGACTGTTTCTAAGGTAGACAGAGAGGGGCTGAAGGGTGTTCCCGTGGTGGCAGTGGCTGCTGTGTCTGTTTTGCTGGTGGCAGAGGAACCGTGAGATGTGGGATATGTGACAGCACCCGTAAGAGAGCTGGAGGGGGAGCTGTCAGGTGTAGCTGTGGACCTGGCCTCAGTAGTTGGAAACGAGGTCGGCAAGGTAGAGAGAGGAGTGGTGGCAGTGCCACCAGAGGTGGCTGGTGAAGCAGAGGTAGAAGGCAGAGGACTTCTGGCTGATGTTACCACAGTGCTGGTGCTGGGAGGTGAGGGGGAGGATGTCCCGGAAGTGGGCGCAGCTGTGTGGGTGGTGGCCGAGCTGTGAGGAGCAGCAGTAGTGTCTGTCTTGAGAGCTGCTGTGCCAGTGTCAGTGGTGAGAGTGAGGGTGGATTCTGCAGTGGAGGTGGCACTAGCGGTGGTGAAGGTGGTCTGACCTGTTGCAGTGGTGGCTGCAGCTGTGGAACCTGGTTCTGTTCCTGAGCTTGCTGAGAATGTGCTGGTGAGAGTGGGTGGTGGAGTGGACTCAGCTGCTGTGGAGTGGGTGGCCAGCACTGTAGGAGCGGGGGACATACTGCCTGGCAGTGTGGGGGCAGTAGTGGTGGCAGATGCAGCAGAGGAGGATGCTGATGGCCCCAGGGTGCTGGCATCAAGGGTGCTGCTGTGTCCAGCTCCTGTGAGAGTGGAGGTAAAGTGGGCAGCCGAGGTCAGGGCAGTGCTAGCAGGGTCTGTGGTATCTGTGCTCTGTGGGGTGGAGCTGGAGAGGCTGCTGTGGGTGTGGGTGTCTGAAGTAGTGACAGCCGTGAGAGTGGAGGTGCTGTGTGTCATGGTGGTCAGGGGCCCAGTGCTGCCCAGAGAAGAGGCAGGGAGACCTGTGCTTGTGACGGGAGGGAGGTGTGTACTCAGCGACAATGTGGCTGAGGACGTGGGGGTCTGTGTGACACTCAGACTCGTGGGGGGTGACGAGGGGGCAGCTGAGGATGTGCTGTCGGGTGAGTGGCTGCTTGAGTCTGGGAACCTGGCAGTGCTGTGAGAGGTGGACGGGGCAGCTGATGACCCTACCATTGTGGAAGCAGTCGTGACTGTTTCTAAGGTAGACAGAGAGGGGCTGAGGGGTGTGCCCGTGGTGGCAGTGGCTGCTGTGTCTGTTTTGGTGTTGGCAGAGGAACCGTGAGATGTGGCATATGTGACAGCACCCGTAAGAGAGCTGGAGGGGGAGCTGTCAGGTGTAGCTGTGGACCTGGCCTCAGTAGTTGAGGTGATCTCCAAGGTAGACAGAGGAGTGGTGGCACTACCCCTGGTGGCTGGTGAAGTAGAGGTAGAAGGTAGAAGTCCAGAGGTAGTAGCAGTATTCCCTAGAGTGGGGGACTGGTAAGATTGGTCGCTGGTGCCAACCCTGGTGCTGAGGGAGGTGGATGAGCCATCAGGACTGAATACCGCAGGACTGGTGCTTGGAGAGCTTCCATCCTTCCCGCCATCCGTACTGGTCACTGAAAGTTTAGAAAAGAGCGCAGCACTGGACAGTGTTGCAGAAGTTTGTCCATGTGAAGTGGTTGTGGGGAGAGGGTTGGACGTGTTGTCTAGAACAAGAGAAGTAGCTTGAGAGGGCCCCTGCACTGCTTCTGTACCAGAGGTTTCTGTGTTGGCAGAGAATAGAGGAACCCACTGGTAAATTTGTGAATCACCATCATGCCACATAGGTTATTAGCTGTCCCATTTTCCTACCCAGAGGGCTGGGTGACACACTTTATCCCCACCACCACCGACAGAGGCACTAGGGAGAGGCCTTTTGGAGCTGAGGGCTTCCTGTCTGGAGCCCACCACCAAGAGTCTGTCCTGAGCAGGGGGAAGCGTTGCCCAGCTCCCCAGTCCTGCAGCAGCTGCAGGTCGTGGGCCCTCTGAAGCACCCCCTTCCTGCACCGCACCTGGGCCTGCCCTTCCCTCCCCCTGCTCCATCCTCCCCTCTGACAGCTGTCCCAACAGCCAGGAATCCTCCTGCCCACTGGCTTTCTGCCCCACCCTTTGACCCTCCTCTGTCCTTCCAACCAGGAGACTCTCTTATCTCCTTCCTTCCTTTGCAAGGCTGTGCTCAGTGTGGCATGGACAAGGGTCAGTGGGGACAACCAAGGAGTAAGAGAGGTTGCAGTTCAGACTGCAGAGACTGAGGGATGTGGAGGGAGGGGGTGGAGAAGGAAACTCTCCAAAAGAAAGACCTCAGCAGGCAGGACATGAATTCCGAAGACCAGAAGGTTTAGTGGAGAATGTTAATCACGCAGACAAAAGACACACACAAAAGACCGGGCTTCTATTTCAACCACTAGATTAGCCTACCAGCATAGGGGCCCTCGGTCTTCAGGCAACACCAGGCCATTTCACAGATAGTGACACTGAGGACCAGGGAGCTCCTGAGCTGAGCTGAGAGGCTGGGAAGACGGGCAGCTGGAGTCAGCAAGAAGCACCTCCATTGAGCTCCTATTCTCTGGGATGGGGCCCAGTATCTCAGTAAGCTCCTTCCAAAGAGCTACATGTCATTTGCAGGAGAAGGTGAATTTCTGCCAGGATGCACCCAGCAGGAGAGTGAGTCCGGAACCTAGGGTCCTCTAGGTTGGGAGTGGAATCTAGGACCATCATCTCAGGACAGAGAGGGAAAAGTGCCCATTGAGGAATCAGGGCTCCTGAACCCAACAGGATCTGCCGCACCCCACACCATGTGTCTAGGAGCCACCCTTGGGGTAAGGCAAAGAGGACTTCAGGACCTCCAGGCCTGGTGACCACAGCTATGCCCAGAAACAGGTGTGACTGGTGGCACGCACAAGGGGCAGAGCTAGGGAAGGGGGATGGGTACACCCAGGGCAGAGGTAAGGAGAGGAGAAAGACCTGGAGGCACCGATCGCTGCAGAGAAGGGAAGAATCCAGTGTGGAGAGGGCCCGAGCCTGAGGGGAGGGGACACGTGGAGCCAAAAGGGAGACAGAGAATGGAAGAAGTCTAGGGAAGAAGAGCCATGTTCCAGGAAGAGTTCACTCCCACCCTGGGATACATATCTCAGTGCTGGACCCCTGCAGCCTTTTCAGTTCAAGTCAAAAGCAGCAGCAAGTGACCCAGCTTCCTTCTCCTCCACCCCCACCCCATCCTGGCCTCTGCAACCAAAAACCTCAGAGCCCCCTCTCCACGTGCTCTGCATCCCCTCCCATCTTTCCCCTTACCTGTAACCCCCAGTGAGGTGCTGAGCATCCAGAGGAGGCTGAGGAACCTGGGCAGCAACATGGGCCCGGTGGGCAGGGGTTGTACCCAGGGCTGGGGACAGAGCAGGTGCCAGGACTGGGAATGGCAGCTGGAATCCAGCCACAGCCAGCCGCAGCGTGCTCACTAACACCTGGCCCCAACCGAAAGTGGTTATCTGCCTGGTCTGGCGCACCAGGGAGCAGCTCACCTTTGCCCCACCCAGCCTCAAGCCCTCCCACTCTCTCCTGCCCCACCACTGTGCAAAGGGAGGGGACAAACAGACAGGCCCCGGGAGATGGGGGTGCTGCTGGCGTCACCCTCAGCAGTTCCTTCCAAGGACGCTGCCTTTCCTCCCCTGCCCCCCATGGAGGACGCGTGTGCGAGAGCACTGCGGTAGATTCCAGAGTCCCGGCTCCCTTGAAATCTCGCTTAGTGCTTAGTTCCAGTCCTCAGAAACACACAGGCCCCACTCCGCCCTCCAGCCCACCTCCTGCAAGTCCCTGGCACCATGACCCTGCAGCCAGACACAGGCGGGAGAGTCACAAAGTTCAACCAGAAGCCATGTGAAGAGGTGAGCCAGGGCTCAGAGAAGGAAGGACAGAGGACCACCGAACATAGGTGCCCCGTAGTTTTGACTATTAGGGAACAACTTCATGACTATTAGGGAGGTTGAGTCCATCCAGTGCTGGCAGCAAGGTGAAGAATAACTGTTCCTACCTGGCCAGTAGAAGTGGATTGAGTTACTTTAAAAAGGCAATTTGAGTAAGCCCAGCACTCAGGGGTGGAGGCAGGAGGATCTGTGACTTCAAGGCTAGCCTGGGCTACCTAGAGAGTTCTACCCCAGACTGAACTACATAGTGAGATCCTATCTCAATGCCCTATCTCCACAAAAGGCAGTTTGATTGCATCTATTTTATGTTTTTGTTTCATCTTTTGAGACAATGTCTCGTTATGCATACAAGATTGCCTCTATTTAATTTTGTGTTTTGATTGGTTTGGTGGTGTGGCAGTTTGGAACTAGGGTCTCACACGTGCTAGGCAAACATTTCATCACTGAGCTACAACTCCAGCCCATCAACTAGAGCTTTAAATGTGTGCTGTAGGGCCCAGCAGTTTCATCTGCTCTTGTGGGGCTGTAATTCCAGCACTTGAGGGGTAAAGGCAGGATGATTGCAAATCTGAGGCCCATCTAGGCAACTTAGTGAGATCCTGTCTCAAAGCAAAATGAGGGCTGGGGATTTAGCTCAGTGGCACAAGCACCTGCCTGGCAAGCATGAGGTTGTGAGTTTGATCCCTGGTACCAAGACAATAAAATAAAATGATTGTGGATGTAGCACAGTGGTAGAGCATGCCTGTGTTCAATCACCAGTAATACACACACACACACACACACACACACACACACACACACATTAAAGAAATGAAGAAAAAAAAGGAAGAGGGAAAGGACAAGGAGGAGAAAACCAAGGCGGCATTCACAAGGATGCTTCCCCATCCAGTGGACTGCAACTCCAGTGGAAATTGGAAACTCTCAAAATGGGATTGTGGTGATCCAGAGGCTGATAGGGCTTGGGTATCTCCGTGGTAGAACATTTGCGTAGCATGAATGCTGGGTTCCAGCCTCAATACTGCAAAACAAAAACAAGTAATGTACAAGTGAACGTTGAGTTACACTCCATGCTGGATCCTTGGGATACTCATTACTCATTACACTCACTCGCACATAAATGCAGGTCGTCCCAGCACAGTGTTAAATAAATTACACAAAATATAAAGCGGGCCTTGTGTAAGATGATGCTGCCCCACTGTAAACCAACGTCAGTAAAGTAAGCATGTGTGAGGTAGGCTGAGCTGCGGTGTGATAAATGCATTTTCAGCGTAGAATATTTCCAATTTTTGAAGGATTCAGCAGGACATAACCCCACCATAAGTAAGGAAGATCTAGGTGCAAAAAGGTTTGTTACTGTTTTCCAAAGCTATCTCCATAGATACACTGGAGTGTTAGAATCCAGCACCAAGCTAGCCAAGAAGCTGGAAACAAAACAAAACTGCAGCCTTGGAGAGCTTCCAATCTTTGTGCTGTCGTGTGTGTGTGTGTGTGTGTGTGTGTGTGTGTGTGTGTGTACACTGAATTACATCTCCAGCCCTTTTTTATTTTTTTGGTCTTTTTTCATTTTTATCGGTACCGGGGATCGAACTCACGACCGCCTGCTTGCAAGGCAGGTGCTTATGCTGCTGAGCTAAACCCCCAGCCCCTTTATTTTGTTTTAAAACAAGGTTTTGCTAAGACGCTAAGTTGCCCAGGCTGGGCTCAAACTTGTGATCCTCTTGCCTCAACCTCCAGAATGCTGAAATCACAAGCACTTGCCACCAGGTCCAGCCCCAGTAGTTTTGGGTTTTTTTTTTTTTTCTAATTATCAAATACCATAAAATGCCCATCATGGAGGTAGGGTCATAGACATAATGAATCGCTGTTGCAGGCGCACCAGGCTCCTGGGAAGACCAACTCTGATCTCCCTTCTGTTTCACCTTAGCTGCCCACATCCTTCTCTGCTGCAGCCTATAGCTTCCTGGCTGCAGGCCTTGTCCACCTTCCTGCTTTCCCAGAGCTGTTCCTACACCTAGAATGCCCCTCCACTCCTTTTCTCTCAGCCTATGTGTCCCACGTATCCTTTGTCTCCTCTATCAAGTACGATCAGAAAGCAAATCTGGAAACACGTAGTAGCCCCCACCCCCAACTACTGGTGGGGAACGGCCCACCCCTAACCTGGAAAGCTGGAGAGGAGCGAAGGGCGTGCAGTGCTAAACCAGAGCTATGGAATCCAACACTGCTTTCCTGCAGGCTGCCTGAGACCCAACACCACCACACGTTAGCATGGGTCCAGCCAGACCTCAAGATGAACCAAAGGGCTGCTGGGTAGAAGGAAGGGTCAGGGATGAGAATACAGGGATACTGAGGCTAGGAGAGCTGACCAAGCTTCAGGACATCCACCATTGGGGCTCTTCCTTGTGCCTCCTCACGCCGTGAGCCAGGTGACACCCAAGTGGGATTCCTGGGAAGTCAGTAGCCAGCACTGGCTCCTCTCCCAAGTCCCACCACTGTCACTGGGGTCTTGGGGAAGCCAAGAACCTTAGAAAGTACAAGCTGGGGCCATCCCCTCCGTGTCAAGGATTAGGGACAAAGTGGTGAGGAAACAGAGCCCAGAAACAGGTCAGGATGAGAGGAAGGGAAGAGGGCCCAGGAATATTAGGTCACCTCCCTGAGATCATCTGAACTGTGGCTACAGTGGATGCTGTCGGCATCTGGTAGCAGAAGCCAAAGGGACCCATGAAAACCATCTCTGGAAGTCATGGCAGGGATCAGGGGACAAGGCTTCTCATGATGGCAGATGAAAGGCTGATATTTGGCTTTGTGATCAGTGGAAGCCAGTAAGAGCTGGTGTACTGGTCAGGGACTATCCCAGAGAAGTGGAAGTAAGGGGTCACCCTAAAAAATGGACAGTCCTTCCAGGACAGGGCAAACTGGGCCAGGCGCTTCTGGCAGCATCCAGGGCTGGTTCCCATGGGAAACAGGCAGCTCCCATACCCGATTCTGTGTCCATATGTTCGGTGGTGTAGGAAGCAGGGATGGTAAAACTGTCACGTCTAGTCCTTTTGTAGAAGAGATGAGATGGCATTGGAAACTATTTTGGTAATAAGCAAGATGATAAGACATGATTTTTCATATCTTAAAACGGAGAAATAGGGTAATATTGAGGCCAAAACTGGGTGTGACCGCACATGCCTGTAATCACAGCACTCCAGAGGCTGAGGCAAGAGGATCACTGCAAGTTCAAGGCCAACCTGAACTGCATAGTGAGTTCAAGGCCAGCCTGAACTACACAGTGAGCCCTGCCTCAAAAAACTCTGCCCCAAAAATTGAGGATAAGGATTAATTTGCAGAAGAACATATGCAGTAAACTCCAATCACGTGGGTTTTTAAGAGGTTAACAATAGTTTAATTGTATGTAAAAGATCTGTAACTAATAGTGTTACACATTTATATAGTAAGTAAAGAATATTCCATTCAGGGAGAGAGATTCTGCTAAATTGCCTTCTCTGCCCAAAGTCCAGGCCACCAAACAATTATCTCTGCTATTTTCTTTGAGCTCCTAGCAATTAAACTTGTCACAGGAAGAAAGGACAGCCGGACAGCCCACCTGGAGAGACTTTGTCACATGCCATTGTCTTCTATTTGGGCCCCAAGGAGAATCATTTACAAACCCTCACCTGTTTGATGAACCTCACAGACTTTGACCCCAGCCATTGTGTTCTCTGAGCACACACCAAAGTTCCCCTAAGATGCCATCGATTAGATCCCCAAGATTTCTTATCCTTTCCCTCCCTGTAGAAAAAGAATACGTAAACTTCTGGATTAAGCTGAGATAGTGGCTAAGCACATGCCTATAATTTTCCCCCACACTGTGATTTTACCTCCTTATAACCAATCTGGATGTCTTTCCTCCTAAAAATTAGAAAAACAAAACAAAACAGGTGTTCATCTCTGTCCTCATGCACACCACATACTTAATGCCCCCCCCCAGATACTTTCAGGATTGAGAATGGCACCTCAAGATTGTACTTGGCACCTCATGATTGTATGTGGCACCAAGAAAATAAGCTTCAAAGTTGAGTTTTGTTTTTCTTTTCAAGATAAGCAACTCCTCCAAGTGTCTAGCTGCCCAACCACTGAGCAGACACCCCCTCCTCGGCCCCACAGATGTGATACAGGATGCAAATGCCAGCCCCAGGAGGCCAGGGGTCTGGCTTCTTTTTTTTTTTTTTTTTTTTTTTTTTTTTTGTACCAGGGATCGAACTCACTACAGAGCTCACAACCTAGCTCATGAACGAGCTCATGACTGAACTCACAACCATGCACTTGCAAAGCAGGCACTTATATCGCTGAGCTAACTCCCCAGTCCCCAGGGCCTGGCTTTTTTTCCCACAAGGACAAGGAGGATGAGCCAGGTGTGGTGACCATACCTGTAACCCCAGAACTCAAAAGGCTGAAGCAGTGAGATCACTGCAAGTTTGAGGCCAGCCTGGGCTACACAGTGAGTTCAAGGCCAGCCTGAACTGCACAGTGAGACCCTGTCTTAAAAAGAGGAAAATGAGCCAATGGCTGCAAGTGACAAAGCAAGCATGGAGCTCTGTGCATTTTGGTCACTCTGTATAAACCCCACGCCACCACCCCACTCCTTACGATAAAAGAATTTTGTCCATGTGTCAACCAGGAGATGGTGATTTGAAGCGAATGGGCCCCTCCATCTCCCTGGAGCTAGCTTTGAATAAATCCTTTTCCTTTTAACCCAGATATATGGCCTCCTTTGGTTTGGTCAGCAGTGAGCTGACCAACTTAAGCCCATGAGCCTCAGTAGCTGGTTATTTAACATAATTTACTACTTAGTTAAGAGCTCTGCAGTCATTTATGACAGGAATCAGGAGTAAACTGTTTTTTGACAAATATTTGCCGGCCTCTATGCCCTGTGTAGTTTGTCCCATATGAACTTCTCTTCCTCGTTTGCACCTTCTTTTATGCATGCCTAGTAATTGCTAGAATAAAATCAGCCGCCTACCACAGCACCCAAAGCAGCCAGTTCATGTATGACCGTCTCTTTAAGGCAGTTTACCTATGAATTTACCCCAACCGGGGTACGGAGAGAGACAGTAAGATCTGGCCAGCTTCTGCCTGCAGCACGACTTCGCACGGTTTCCTTTCAGGCCGTACTGAGGGCTAATAACCTCAGACATTTCAGCCTGGAACTTGTCCTTTTGGAAGAAACGCACATACATTCAGAGCAATGAATATCATCTTTTATAGGTTTATGAGGTAAAATGAAACACAAAACAAGCTGTGCAAACACTGCTTCTGTGGTTAATTGTTTCCCAAGGACTGTGCAAAAGGTGGTCCACTGGGCCTGTGCACTTTTCTCCAGGTTGAGCCAAGTAAACCTCATGCAGGAAGACTGCTCGTTGCCCTTCTGGAATGTTAATCTCTACTGTCTTCCTGCCCAGTTGGCAACCCAGCCCACCGCACAGCCAGCTGGGCAGAAACTTGCTCTCCTTGTAATTGATTGAGCGCTGGTGGCCCGCTCCTTCCAGGGCAAACAGAATACTGAAAGGTAAACACTTGCGTCACACAGGATTGAAAGTTAGGACCAAAACAAATGAACTAAAAAGACACTTTGCTCAGCAGCAGGGACCCTGAGCTGCCAGTCTGTTTCTACCCCTCCCCAGCTAGAGTCCTGCTGTTCCCAACCCTTTGTTGGTGGTGGTGCTGCTCTCTGGCTGATTGAATGACGACTTCTTTAAAAAGAGCATATGAGGAGCTGGGGACCTCCGTGGCACAGTGCCTGCCTGGCAAGTGTGAGTATATTGTACGAGGAAGGTTAGTGCACACCTGAAATCCAGTACTCTGGGAGGCTGAGACAGGAGGATTGCAAGTTTGAGCCCAGCTTGGGCAATTTAGCAATTTAGTAAGACTGTCATAAAGTACTTGTTTAAAGGACTAGAGGAGGCCCTGTGTTCCATCCCTAACACACACACACACACACACACACTACAAACAGAATACAAAGACAACCCATAG